TGCCATCAGCCACTGAACCCTATGTACTCACCTCATTTTCTTCCTTAATGTGTTTCATATCTGGATCTCAGTATTCCTCTCCAGCCTAAACTCTACCTTCATCCTTGGTGACTTTTCACCATTATCCTGAATTATTTTACCCCAAAGATCTTGAGCTCTGAAATTTTACTCTCAGACCATAATCTTCTGAACGACCACCCTCTCCAGCTTCCTCACTTAGCCTAAACAGCTTTCTGTTAATTTTTTTTTGTTTTGATAATTTATTACAGCACTTAACATGTACGAAGAACTCTGCTAAGTGCTGGGGATATAAAGAAAAACAAAAATATGCCCACAAGGAACTCACATTCTAACTGGAGAGACAACATGCAAACAAATACAAATGCAAACAGATAACGGGTGTACAAAACCTAGATAAGAGTAGATGAAAGAGGAAAGGCCTCCTGCAGCAGGTGGAGTTTGACTTGAGTTTTGGAGAAAGGCATGGAAGCCAGTGAGCAGAGGTGAACAGGGAGAACTTTCTAGGCATAGGAAGAAACCCACTGAAAAGGCAGGGACTCAGGAGAATGAGTGTTGAGGGTGAGCAAGAAACTAGGAGGCCAGTGTCATTAGATTGTAGAGTATGTGGAGGGAGAAAAGTGTGAGAAGACTGGAAAGGCTGGAAAGGGCTGGGGCTTGAAGGGCTTTGAATGCCAAACAGAGGTTATTGTATTTTATCCAGGAAGTAAAAAGAAACCAGGAAGCTAGGTGGTGAAGGGCACCCAGACTCCTCTTTGTGAGCTCAAATCTAGCTTCAACCATTTACTAGCTGTGTGACCCTGGACAAATCACTTAAACCTATTTGCCTCAGTTTCCCCACCTGTAAAAATGAGCTGGAGAAGGAAATGGCATTCCATTATCTTTGCCAAGAAAAGCCTAAATGGAGTCACAAAGAGTCGGACACAACTGAAACGACAACAACAACAACAGGAAACCACTGGAGTCTGAGTTAAAGGGGTGTAACATGGTCTGAGCTGTGCTTTGGGAAACAGCGGAGGGGACGATGGGATTGGAGTGAGGAGAGCCTCGTGGCAGGCACACCCACCAGCAGGCCACTGCAACAGTCTAGACACGAGGTGATGAGAACCTGAAGCAGGATGGTGGCTGCGTGATTGGAGAGAAGGGAATATTTACGAGACCTTGGAAAGGTAGAAATGACAAGACACAGCAACATGATGGATTTGTGTGGTGAGTGTGAGGGAGAAGTCAAGAATGACAATTGGCTTGTGAGCCTTGGTGACTGGAAGGAAAGAAAATGAGGTCTATTTTGGATGTATCAATTTTGAGAAGCCTATGGGATGTCCAAAAAGCAGTGGGCGACGTGAGACTAGACCTCAGGAGAGAGATCACAGGTCTAGGAATCATTTGCATAGAGATGATAATTGAACACATGGGAACCAATGAGATCACCAAGTATTAGTAGAGGGAGAAGAGATTCTTGGGAGACAACCACAGTCATAAGACCTGAATTTCCTCAATGCTTTTTATTCTCCGAGTCATCATTGCTATTCTGGCCTCACTTTCTCCTCTTTACGTTACTGACCCTATAGTCAGTCAGTTCAAACACATCCTGTCCTGTCTTGAATTGCTTGAACTGTTCCCCTATCACTGTACATGCCTTGACAATTGTCAATGCTGAGACACTCCGCCATCTGGTTTTTTCTGGTTCTATGCACGCCTCAGTCACCAAGCACTGCTGGATAAAGTCATAAACTGAGGAGACTGGGTCCACTAAAAATTCATGGTATCTAACTTCACCTGGGCCCACAAGGCTAGAGAGGAGTAATCCTTGTATTCTTTTTTAATCCCCTCATCTCACTCTTCTTTTAGACTTATTTAAAACGTACTTATCTCTCTTCGTATTAACTCCTATCCCTCTCTTCTAAGCAGAGGATTTCACTTTCTACCTGATGGAAAAGATTGAGGCCTTTCAATGTGACTTCCCTCATGTTCCCTTCCCTTAATATCTCAAAAACTTTCTATAGTTATCATCTATCCTTTCTTTCCTCTAGCCTCCTAGAATGAGAAAAATCTTTCTCTTACCCAAACTTAACCTTTTACTCCGTGTCCTTTATTTCTTCCTTGAGAGACACTCTGTTCATCTAATCTGAAATTTCCCCCTATCTTTAGGCACCTTTCCCACTGCTTATAAATATGCTCATACCTCAGCATAATTAAAAATTTAAAAAAAAAAAACCTTGCCATGGGTCCACCAACATCAATTAAAGCTATCACCTTTATCTCCTCTCCCTTTCTTCTTCTTCCAGTTTTACATTCGTTCATTAATCCATGTCTTCACCATGCCCTCCTCAACCCCTTGCCATCTGGCTGACTATACTTACCACTGTACTGAATCTGCTTTTTCCAAAAGTTTCCAAATGACCTCAACTACTAAATTTGATGGGCTCTTTCCTTAGTCCTCATACTCTTTGACCTTTCTGCAACATTGGATGTCACTAAGTAGTCTCTTCTATTGCTGTAGTTATTTTCTGTCTTGGCTTTGGGCCACCTGCTCATTCTTGACCTATCTTAACAACTTCTTGGCTTTCACTAATTTAATGTCTTCCTCCTAAGTGTGTGTCCCCCATGGTTTTGGCCTCCCTTTTCTACTCCTTTAAACTCTCTCAGTGATGTCCTGTGCTTCCATGGGTTCAATTGTCATCTTTATGCAGATGAATCTAAATCCATATATTCAGCCCAATCCCCTCACCCCCTCCCCTGCCCATACACACCTCGAACTTTACTCCCACAACTTACTGGAAATTTCTAGTTGGATGTCCCAGCAACCCAAATTCACTTTGTCCAAAATGGAACTCATCTTCTTGCCCCTCTCTCCCCAACTTATTTATTTTTAATGTCAAGGGCAGTACCATCTTTACAGGTACCCACGTTTCAAATGTTGGTATCATCTTTAATTCTTGCCAATCTTATATCCACACCTCTCAAATCAGTTCTCTCTTCTATGCTCACTCACACTGACACCAATGTAATTCAGGTACCCATCAACTAGGTATCAGTCCTTCATGCTTTATCTATCATTTTCTCGGTTAAAAACAAAATCCCCATTGCCTTGTAAACATTAGGTGCTTATAAAATGTAGAATTTAAATTAGGATAGAAGATTCCCTACAGTCAAACTTACAAGAAGCAGAGCAAGGATCTGACCCTTGGTCTTTTCAGACTTCACTAAACCATTATGTACAGGCTCTAGACTAGAGCTTGAAGCAAAAACTAAGTTTACTAACACAACATGCTAGGTCGGTCAAGTTATTTAAAATTTTTTTATTATGACAACTTAACATGTCATATTTATATGTAATAAATGACAGAAGGTATTATAACAAAAGCATTATGAAAGAAAAAGTTACACAATTAGGCCAGCGGCTATAAAATGGCTTTGGGCCTAGTTTACACACCAAGAGAGTTCTGACCAGACTGTAGTGAGACAACATTGAACATTTCATTAACAAAAATATTGGCACCAGCCTTAACATATTCTGTTTTTCATTTACAAGGTATATAGTATTTAAAGTTGTGCATTGCAATTTTAACACACTAGCTGTTCATAAATTGCAGTTTAACCCCTTAAGCACCGAGGCTACCAGGACTTCTTCCCACATTATTTTTATGCACAAAATTTACATGCTTGTGATAGCATAGTTGTAGAAAAAAAAAAAGAGTGAAAAGTATCACCCATTTTCTGTGCAATGAGTCACGCTTCCAGTTTTTAAAATATATTCTCCCACTACCACATTCAGGACACATCCATATAGAAGAAACCGGCCTAGCTTCTCCTTTCAGACTTTTAGCAATGATCATGATTCCATCAAGAAATATAAGTTCAGCATTCTTGCAAGGCTAAGATATCTATGACTTTAACAGCTGAGCTTCTTAATGTTTAACATTTGTCTGTCAAGAACAAAATAAACTGAGGCATTCCCTAAGTCTGAGAACCTAATCCACAAATTTTATATTTTCTTAGAAACAAAAGCAAAAAACCCAAAACAGATCCAAAGTATAGAAGTAAATAAAGTGTTTCACATAAGCATATCTTAAAATGCAAGGCAGCTCTGATCTGATTAGTTCTTCTGAATGCCAGATACTATTATTTAAATAAACAACAAATACACGCAGAACCCCCAAATCTCTATCTGCTAGTAAGTAATCTATATTATTTATGCCAAGGCAGGAGACTCAAAATTACCAGGACTGCACTGATACACTGAAGAGCCTGTCCTATCTGAAAATAACTGCAGACACAAGCTGCACAACAGTTGGCTTGATTTGATGTTTACTATGACACTCATGCAGATGAATTTGTCTTAAGAGCACCACTGTGCTCCACAGCAGAGAAGAGAGTAATACATTGGCATTTAGACAAAATTTTTTTTTTAAATAAACTATGGATATGTATTACTTAAAAGAATGAGATTCCAAAATCCATCTTTTTTGAAGGAGAGTGGAATTAGAAAACTTAGTAAGATTTGCTTTTTTCTTGCTATTATCTATTTTAAAAGCACATGAATTAGCATCCATGAAAAGCAGTAGTCTTAAGTTATAAGTCATAAGCAATTATAATAACAGTACTGTACTCTGTCCTTGATAAATATAAAAATCACTGGCAGGTTCTTCTGAAAGGATAACAGTCCCAAATTGCAAATGGCTATTGGAGATGAGAACCAAACATCAAGCCAGCTATGATATTCCCTTGGAAAAACCAGATAGTCAAAATATACTCTAGTTCTTTTAAGCAGGGTCATTCCAGACCCCTGGATCCTGATCATTCATATATGTGAACAGACACTGTAGTTCTGTTTGAGTTTTTGGGAAATGCCTTTGGGGATTTGGGGATCGTGCTTGTGTTAGTTTTCCTGGTTTTGCAGCTCCTTTGTGTGGCAGAATTGACCTGTAACCGCAAAATCCAGCTCTCAGGCAGGAGGATGAAAAAGACCATGGAACAAATTGTTAAGCAGTTTTAGTTTTAATTACAGCATAGACCTGTGGATATTCTATCACAAACACAATTGTAAAAATCTACAATCTACTTTCAGGTGTTATTTCCCCACCTCCCACCCCCTTAAAAGCTGTACACAATTATAAAAAATGTCACTCTAAGCAAAATAAATTTTTTTTTTTGCAACGTACAAAATAAGTTAAACGATTTCTGAAGCTCTGGAGTGTTTACTTAAATTTCCAAACAATGGTTTTCTGGATGGCTGTATTTCTAACATGCAGCTACTTGTTCTACCACCAGAACTTAATAAATACAGATTTTAAAACACATTTTACAATAAAATTAAAATTTCTTAATAAACTGAGGAAAGTTAAGAGGAAGTATAAAATTAGAGCTGACGATTCCATTCTTAACTCACATCATCCAGTGGCAAAAGGAGTAAGACCTCAGCATATTCTCCAAATTGTGTTAAAAAATATGAATTTAAAGTTTCTATTCTACTGAAGTTTCTGTTCAACATCCTTTTGTTTTGAAAGTTCTTATTCCCAAAGTCTAAATAGCTTATTCAGAAATCATAAATAATTTTCACCCACCCAAAAATCTGGTATATGGAGGATAATGTATTCCATACAGGTATTACAATTTAGAATATTTCTGTGCGTTAAATTATAATCATTGCAAATGTGCCAGGACTGCTTTTGTAGTGCTTAGCATAGTCACTTTTTTCAAGGAACTGCACAAAAATGAAATGGTAAATGAGACAATCAAACCTAGGTGAAAATGGCTTTTTAATTACATATTTAGAAAAAGATTACTGATGGTAATCTATACAATGCTTAACTTATGGCGATGTGGAAAGTGGAGAGGTGTAAAAGAAAAAAAGGCATTACAATGTAGAATCTGAGTCATCTATACAAAGCTCACTACAAAAAATTTCTGGCCTGTAGTGACTGAGGGCAGACCTATTAGGTCTCTAGGACTTGTTCTTTCTTTGCTTAAAAAAAAAAAAAAAAAAAAATGACAGCAACTAGCAAACTATTGGCATTCAATAAATGTGAAGTGATAATGCTAACGATAACTTAAGGCAGAGCGGAAGGAAAGGTTCTTAAAACAATTACAGTATTTAGTCTATACATTATTAACCACATTTAAAACTTCAGATTAAAACTTCTGGTTGACCACATTTAAAACTTCTTGTTTCCAGGATTACCACAACAAAGCAAATCTACAAAGCTTACCCTCCACTTTTAAACCAAGTTGACCTTTAATATGGGGAATGGTGGGTGACATTGGTGTTGAAGAGAAGATAGATTCTGTTATGATAAATGATGATTTAAGTTTAGAGATGCTCAGCCACAAAGCCAGTAAACCAGAAACAAATTATGCAACTTTGGCAATCATGGCCTACTAGAGAACAGTATTACTTTCAGATCAAGGGGAAGAATATCACTATTATCTTCTGGTCCCATGGCAATGACAAAACCCACTATTTTAAACATTATTTTCTGTGAAAAAAAAATCTTTGAGATATATTTTTCTCATATATGTGTGTACACATGCCAAATTAAACAAATATAAGGTGCTCAACGAATGCATTGTTTCATCATTTTTCTTTATGTAATACATCTCTAAAGTACAGATTTCTAAAGTTGAGAACTTATTCAAAGAAAACGAGACTCTGAGTTTGAATAAATAACATGGGGACATGAATATGTCACAGACCCTCATGAGAGTGGAGCTAAGTCTATTATGTTTCTATACTTCAAACTTAACTTCATTTTTCTCTTCATAGTGAGGGCTGAGAAAATCGAAAAATCATGGGAAGAATGTCCCTATTTCTAACAGAATCTCTTTAATGTGCAACATAGGCTTTAAAAACTTCTCTTGCGATGAAAACACTACCACTAATTCCACTTATGTAGACCTGCTTTTCCCCCATAAACTTAGAATGAAGTGATCAATCAGGTTCCTAATGTTATTAAACAAAATGGGCTGGGTCATGACAACTAAGAACTAGGCAACAAGAGAAATTATTCTGCAATTATTTCATTTAAAAACTTTAAGGAGTTTCTAGTGGTTTTAAAATATTTGAAAACCTTTTGACTATTTACATATCCTAAACCAAACCACTCTTATTTCCTTATCAAGACTGCAATCTTAGCTAGGTCACACCACATGGAAAGCATACAGTTCATCCAAAGGATCTCCATTTGGTCATTAGTTGTATTTCTTCCTTTGGATTTGCAGTAATATGCTAGAATCAGTAAATATTTCATTGAGCACTATTCCATCTGCAGAAAACCTTCAAAGCCAAGCTGTAATTTAACTACAAGTCCTATTCTTTTTCATGACCAAGTTGATTTTATTTTGAAGTATCCAGTAAAAAGGGAGACATTTTTATAGGAAATGAAACTGTCTACTCTCAAATACTCCAAATCCTGACTTAATAAGGCTGAATAAAATGAACACACTAGAACCTCTTATAGATTTGTTATAGAATGGAATTGGATATAGGGAGAGTCTAGTTTGTATCTTATCTAAGGGGTTTTACAGTATGTAAACAGCTTTGTTATATGGTGGCCATGGAATGCTCAATATTACTTTGGGGGTCTGGGGTAGTCCTGAATTATTTTCTTATATTTTTGAGAAAGCATATGAGCTTTTCTCACTATTTTCACATATCAATGAAAAACATTATGGTAAACTTATTTCCTTTGTGGTGATCAAGAAACTCAAGCTTGAGTGTGCATAACAAGGAGCAGAACCAGTTCAGGTCTGCTACAGCTTTTAGCTAGGTTAATCAGCTATATGCTGTACATACTCATGACTATCTAGAGAGCAACACTGTAGGTATCTAACTATATGGGTAGACAGATGGACCTTGGCTGAAGGGTTCTCCCAGGAGCTGTGGTTGTAATAGTTCTGCCACTTAGCATACAGGCATGGATCCAAAGACCTTAAATATCAGCTGATCAAAGTGGCCTAATTGCAACTTGCAAGAAGCTGGTACCACAATCAGAATCTATCTGCCAAACTATTGTAGAAATTCACAACTTTTTGAACTGGAGAAGTACAAAGAACCTTCTGAATTTCTGTACATAGGCATGTAATGAAAACATATTAATCCTACAACAGTCACATTTTCTGTCGATGTGCCTGAAGTAAAAGTGCAGGTTTTAGCTAGAGGCTGGGGCTGGTGGGTTTCTGGAGTGGGGAGCAAGGCATATTATCAAAGGGAAGTTGTCTACCGTGGTTACCTTTACTCAGGTGCACAATGAAATTGGTACTGGCAGGTACCCTGTCTCTGCCAGCTTGCTTTAAAATGAAGTTAAAATATTAAACCTCTGTAATGTATTCTAAATAACAGACAAGAAACTTTAATTAAACACTGCATGGATTATAAAGGCATTTAGTGGCCTGTTAATGCAAGTCATTTCTTCCCCTTAAAATAGGACATTCTCTTCAAAATAAAAAATCACAACTTTCTCAACACAGCATACTACTGGTGCATCCTAATTTTAGGCTGCCTTTGATTATTTATTTTATTTTATTATTAAAACAGACAAAATATACATTGCTAGAATCCAACAAAAATATTAATGGACAGGTGAACTACAGAACTAAAGTGAAAAAGGATAAAACAGTAAAGAACCAACATCAGTCAAAAAAAACAAAAAACAAAACAGCTATAAACTTTCAAGGCCAAAAGTTAAGTCTGCAGATTAAACTGGGGAGGGACACAAAAGGAAGGCAGGCAAAGTTGTCTAGAGAGGTATTTATATGTAGTTCTAGTGCCAGCTTTAAAAAAAAAATTAAAAAAAGAAGTGCTTAATTATGGATTGACTAGCACACAAAAGGTTTAATTTGGAGAGGAGATAGGATGTGACCCCTTGGTGCCATTAGCAGGTAACATACATCCATCGCCAGCAATGGACAGAAAAGGGGGTGAAAAATCTAAATCCCTCTGCAAAAAAAGGGCTGACCAGAGATAACCACCTCTGGTTTCAAAAGGACACATGGAAGGTTCATCATAAAGGCTATGCTTTGTCCAAATGTTAGGGCTCCTACCTGAAAATTCACAGGATGAAAATTCAGAGGCTGAATAAAATGAGGACCATGGTTAGGGTCAACCAGGTGCTCAACTGTCCACTTCAATCCCCCAACTTTTTGCTTAAAATGACAGACATCACTTTGTCTTGAGAGTGTCAAGGCATGTAAGTGGATGTTATGCCCATAAATTTAGAGATACACTGGTTGCTTTCCTTCTTCTTTAGGTTGGTCACGTGAGTAGTATAAATTTGAATAAAGTTCTAATGGCCAAAGGCAAAAATGACATTTAAAACCTGCTAATATATCCAGGCAGATAATGCCAAAACATGCACACATACACAGACACACACACACACACACACACTCATATACACACACACTCACAAACTCAAACTAAAAACCTTCCAAAGGAACTGCTTGGTTTGTAGACTTCAATTTGAAGTAGATACTAAGGGCAAGAATAGATTGGTTAGGAGTCACCTGAAAACCCACTCCCATCATCAAATGTGCTAAAATCCCATTGTCAGCTCGACGTCTCGATGTATGGCATATGCAGATATCTATATCTATATAGATATATATCTTCAAATGACCTTTCAAATGTTTAAACATTAAGTGGTCAGTTGTTAAAATAATACTTACGCTATCTGTAATGGTTACACTATCTCTTTTGTCATATTGACCAAATATGTACAATCATCACATTGATATTTTCCATCAGACACGGTACAGCAGGGATGATCTGATCAAATATGCATAAAGCCATTTTACAAAATTTGCTGCTAGCACAATTTGGCTGCCCAAGCTTCATTATATATGTTTCATGGTACAAATGCTTTTCAGATGATTATTATTATTTTTTTTTTAAAAACAAAGAAACTCCATTGTAACAGATACTTAAATTAGAGCTCTTACTAATGGTACTTTCTTGGTCTCTTTTTCATTAAGTGTGGTTATCTCCAGTATTAAACAAGTTGATTTCATGAAGGTTGCTACTAAATGAGCTATGGTATGATGTTATCTACAATTCACAAAATGCGATAATACAGACATGTACTTTTAAATTGTCTGTTAATCGTATTCTGTTATGAATGTTTAAATATAATATATATGTGTGTATATATATATTTAATATGAAAACAGTAAAGCACAAGTGCTTTCTCCCACCCCCAAATTCCATTTTGGGCCCTGACAGATTTGGAATGCATTCTTATCCATCCTTTTATCACAAAGTCAGGAGAGCTCAGGAACTATAAAGTCAAAAATATACAAATCTTTTGTTGTTATTAGAATACGGGTTTGTGTGTGTATTTTCCATGAATGAAATTACCAAGGACCATGAACTTAGGGGGGAAAAAAAGACAAAAAAAAAAACATCAAAGGGAATTTATAGCGATTATTTATCTTCAAAGTTCAAAACTGGTCACTTCACAGAAAGACTGCAGGGACTGGTGAAATTTTTGCTTCTAAAAAGTGATCCTGTAGTGGAGAGCTTTCTAGGAAAAATAAAACAGCTTTTAGTAACTGGCCCGCTGGTGTGAGAGCTACCGTGGAATAAATTAGCACAAAAATGGAAAAAAAGTCTTATAACTGTTCACTGTTACAGACATAATCAACAAGGTCAGTCACTCTTAAAAGTTCATCCTCCTCTTCTTCTGGTGCTCCTGCCTCCTGCCCACCACCTGTCCCATTGGGTGCTAGGCTGGCATTGCCTGTGCTGTCCTTGGGGGCTTGAGGTTTTTCAGATGGTTTGCCAATTAAGTTCTCAATAGCCTTGCCAGGGCTCTGTCCGTTGGCAGAAGGCAAGTCCACTAAGCTATAGTCCAATGGGCTTTCCACTTTCCCAACGTTTTCAAAGTCTTCTTCCTCATCACTGTCTATCCTATAGGGCTTCCTGGTATGGTCATGCTGCCCATGTGATGCCAAGTGCTTGCTGGCTCCTGCATGCTGCTCCACAGCATCAGCAGCAGCAGCAGCATTCTCACCGTTTTCCTCCTCATCTGTCTCAATACGATGCAGTCGTTTTCGGGCAGGTGGGCCTTCCTCCTCCTCCTCCTCTGCTTCTGAACAGTCATTTGTGTTTCGACCTCGCTTCCGAACGGACCGCTGAGATTCTTTAGCTGGCTCATCATCATCAGAATTCTTGGAAATGTAGCTCTCTGGAACAAGTAGCAGACTTAAAGCCATTAGCAAATCGGATGGCAAACAGACTCTTTAAAATTGCTCCCCCCCACCTCTGCCTCATTCAGTTCATAAATACAACTACTTATTAAGCCCCTACGATGTGCAAATCACTGTCCTAGGCATTGGGAAGGCATACAAAGTTTGAAACATGCTCTCTGCCCCTAAGAAGTTTACAATATAGTAACAGTTCCCTATCCTTCAGTTATCTTTCATAGAAACTATTACATACTATCTTTGTGACAATTCACAAGAATTATCCCAATTTTTTTTGCAACCCCCCCCCGCCTCCCACTAAGTCTAATAACTCAGAAATCTTGTACTTTGACTCCAAATCTGGGAGAAGCTTGTGTATGTGACTTCTTTCATAGTCAACTGGTTTTTTCGGTGAACTGAAAGAAATGATGATGACTATATATAACAAGGTCCTTTCTCTTTCTCTTTCACCCCTAAACCTCAAAGTAAGAAAAAGTGCTGTATATACAAGTATTACATCATAAGCTCCTCAGGGGCAAGGAATATGTCTCAGTTATCTTTGAATCCCCTGCAGTGCCCAGCACAGTGTACTACATAGTAGGCACTTAATAAATGTTTGTATGGATTTTAAATAAATATCTGTGCAAAACTCAGATCCTGATGGCTGGGAAACAGGGCAGAACTAGACACCAAATTCAAGGCGACTACATGTTAATCTATAGAAAGAACATTCAACTCATCATGGAAACTTCAATTACTTATCTTTAAATACTCATAGAGAACATACATTACTATGCCAAAATCAGTGCTTTCAACCACTTAAGGAATGAATAGTTTACGAAATGTGGTGAAATGACAACACTGAGAAACAACGGAATAAAAAACAGGGAATTGCATTCTATTGACTTTTTCTTAATTTTATAACCAATTCAGCAAATGCTCAACTAATGATATTAATGAAGGGGAGAAATAGTGCAGACAAAACAACTTAATTCAACAATGTCTAAATGCTGAGCATGTGCAAGGCACAATGGATAATATAAAACTAATTTGTTTTTGGAATGTAGATAATATACACACTCCCCAAAAGACATTCAACTCTTCTGTCCAAAATACCTCATACCTAATTTTCTCATGGATTGTTCTGTTAGCAGATCAGGACCCAAAAGGGCAGTGGTTGGGTGGGAGCAGAGTTTGGGAGAAAGGAAAATGGAAGGACGAACACAATCCAATAGATTTCAAATAACTGGAATAAGAATAAGCATAAGAAAAAGGCTGAACTAATTAGTGTTCAAAATAAGTTCCTAAAAAGTTGTCAACAAACTGTTTCAGACCTCTTAAATATCACCATCTCACATTTTCATCATTTTATGATTATGTAATTTTATATCTGGAAGAAATATTTAAAGTTATCTAGCTTTTGTACTTTATCCTGCTGGCTACCCATTTTTAAAAATGTACAAATATGATTATGAAAATATTTAGCTCAAAGAAAAAAAGACTTTGGGAAGATATAATCTGTCTTGCCTTGAATCCTGCCTTCCCCGCAATCCCTACATCAGCTCAGAGCACCCAGTACCCATCTGGGATGCTAGATAGCTCATAAGGGTTAGATGAGATAGAACCGACAACTGTTCCTTCTCTGGAGACCTCTAGGCCTTACCATGTGTACTGCAACTAAAGTCCTCCTGCCCTTACCTTTATTCTGTGCAGAACTCTAGCACTGTAATTTGACTTACTGACATTGCCAAAAAACCTCTGAGCTTTGGCATCAGTCCCACAACCAGGCCCTTAGGACTTCTGGGCTTTTCCAGGTACCCTTTAGCTGAACTCTCCTCCCCCAATTAGAATGTGAAGTCTTTGAGAACAGAGAGTATCTCACATTTTCTATTCATATCCCTACCACTTAGCACAGGGTTTGGTACATAGTAAGCACCCAATAAATGCCTTTTCATTCATGAATAATGCTTCAAGTAGATATTGTCCATTGAATTCTGGGAATCTATAATTCTACAAAGTAAGAACACTAGAGAAGGATCCCATTTTATCCACCATGGGTGTGAAAAACAGTTGCAATGCCTGGGATTTTAAAAAGATGATTTAATTTCTAATTAAAACTATATGATTTAAGCAAGAAACAAAAGCTAGCAACTCGTTCTGTAGTTTTTTATATACCTTATTTACTTGAAGCATCTGTAATTTTATCAGTGTGAGCACTTCTTCCAGCAAAGCAAATTATCAGCACGTCTATGAGTTGGTAAATGGCATTTAAGAGTTGTTGTGGCCAAAAGAATCCAACACAGTGTGACCAGCCTACTGAGGAGCCTCTCTGATGGTTTCCAGGCTTCTTAGAGAGTCTCTATTACCCGGGCTATACTCACAACCCTTCCAGAACTGCAGGACCTAGAGGAGGCTCTGGATTCTGCTTACACAGCTTTTGAGATGACATGGCAGAAAAGTCCAAAACAATCACATCACAAAATAGTATGATATAAATATAATTAATAACCAGAAAAACCAAGAAGTTCAATTTTATGAAAAAATCTTATAGCATATCTCATCATAAGCTTGCTTTATTCTTCATGTCTTACTTGGGGTTAATACCCCACCTCCAATCAAGTTTCAATAAATCGATATCCTATTTCTTACCTTCACTATCTGAGCTGGAAAGCCTGCGTTTGTGAACTCGTCTTATTTCTTTCCCATATCTGAAGCTCTTCTGGGAACCATCACTTTCTGAGTCCTCCTTATAGTTAACTTGTCTTTTCTGGTTTCTTCTTGACCTTCTCCGTCTAGTTTCCAGGTAATCTTCACTGTAATCGCTATAATCACTCTCTGTTTAAAAGGATATCGAATAAAACAACAATAACAAAAAGAGAATCCTATTAGTTTTTATTAAAATTAGAAATTACAACTTTCACTGTTATATAAAGTGAATGCCGCTAAAAGAGTCATTTATCTTTAGATATGCTGTCAAACATCAATAATTTGTACATGTTGGTTATTTTCCTTAACTAATGTATATCATTCAATAAATGCCTATAAAATTAAACAACAGATTCCCTAACCAACTTGGATGCGAAACATTAGAACCTTTAAGTATTTACTTGGAGAGTTTCTGGTGCCAGAATGCTGCCAGATAAAGAGTGAGTCCAGGGTGGGGCCAAAATAGCGGAACAGAGGCAGCAACCCAGCTGAACTCTCCCAATATTCCCTTCCAAACAACTTTACAATAATATCAAATCAAATTTTGGAGTGGCATAGCCAACAACAGGTCATAGTGAGAAATTTTTCCAACTGAGACAACTTAAGAGATACACAGGAAAGGTCTGTTGGTAGGGGTCAATCTGGAGCCCATGTGTTAGCAACACTAGCAGCAGGCCTTGGAGCCAGCTGTGGTAGCAGCAACAGCAGCAGCAACTTCTAGGTTTCTCAGTCCAGCGATGGTAAGGGGATCCGACAACTGGTCAGAAAGAGATTGCAAGAGATTCTGAACTGAACCTGAGTGCTGGACCCAGGCACTGTTTGGAAACTCTATTACCCACAAGAGTTCTGGGTCACAATTCCAGGGTGGAGAGGAGCGCTTGAGGTCAGTCACAAGAGAACAGAAACTCTGGTCACAGTTCCAGGGCCAAGAAGAATATTAATACTTTTGGCTACAGGGGAACAGAGGCCCTTCCTGGGTAAAGACTAGAGTGTAGATCAGGACAGCAGTGACGACACCTCTGCCCCAGATAACATCACCTTGGAAGCACAAAAAACTTGCAGTCCCCCAGGACTAGCTCTGAAAAGAGCTGCATGAAAAAAGCCTGCAGTTTAAGATAGTGCCTCACCACCACAAAGGTGAGCAGAGGCCAACTTTAAGGGATTAAGAGTGGCAGAGAGGGGGCAGCTAGGTGGCGCAGTGGATAGAGCACTAGCCCTGAAGTCTGAAGTACCTGAGTTCAAACCTGGCCTCAGACCAAACACTTGACACTTAGTAGCTGTGTGACCCTGGGGAAGTCACTTAACCCCAAATGCCTAAAAAAATAAAAAAATAAGAGCGGCAGAGAAAAAACTGGGAAATGAAATGAGTGATGTAAGAAAAGAGAACTAACAGTTTGGTAGAAGAGGCACAAAAAAATATTGATGAAAACAACACCTTAAAAAGCAGAATTGGCCAAATGGAAAAAGAGGGGTATAAAAGCTTAGTAAAGAAAATAATCCCTTAAAAATTAGAATTAGGCAAGTGGAAGCTAATGACCCTACGAGACTTTGAAAAACAATAAAACAAATTCAAAGGAATGAAAAAATAGAAGAAAATGCAAACATTTGGAAAACAACTGGAAAAACAAAAGTGACCTGGAAAACAAACTGAGGAGAGAGAATTGAAAAATTTTTGGACTATGGGGGAAAAAAACCAAAAACAAACAAAACAGCCTAGACATCATATCTGAAGAAATTGTAAAGGAAAACTACTTTGATATTTTAGAACCAGAGGGGAAAATAGAAATTAGAATCTGCTGATCACCTCCTGAAAGAGTTCTCAAAATGAAAACTCCCAGAATTATAGCCAAAATTCTAAATTCCTAGGACAAGGAGAACTGCAAGCAGCTAGAAAAAAACCATTCAAATATCATGGAGCCACAGTAAGGATCAAACAAGACTTTGCAGCTTCCATGTTAAAGGAGTAGAGGGCTTGGAATATGACAATCCAAAACGCAAAGTAACTAGAATTGCAACCAAGAATAATCTACCCAGCAAAACTGAGTATAATCCTGCAGGGGGGAAACTATATACTTAATGAAATAGAGGACTTCCAAGCATTCCTGATGAAAAGACTAGAGCTGAACGGAAAATCTAACATTCAAACACAAGACTCAATAGAAGCATAAATATAAATATGAAAAGAGAAATCATATAAATTTCAATCAGTTCCCTATATGTCTTAGTTACATGGTTGTTGTAAAGATCAAATGAGATGTCTGTAAAATACTTGGTAAACCTTAAAGGGCTGAATATTTTTGATAGACGAATAGGGATTGGACTGGTGATGTTGGTAGAGGGATGAGGAAACTTGTTTCTACCCCAAAACAAAGCAGTTCCTTATCTGCAAGTCAGAGTCTTAAAGAGATGCTTCGAGCACTGAGAGGTTATAGGATTTGCCAAGGATCACATATAGGTCAGAATAAGCAGGTATACACCAGGTGGACATAGCAGGCTCTCCAACCACCATGCAACATTGCTTCTTATATACTTTATCATGGGGAACTATTTTTATTATTATTGTTGTTGTTCATGAACAGGCCTTAGCACACCTTAGCTTGATTTGAAGGTAGAAGACGACTTAGGTAGTAAATTTGAACTGGGATTGGAACCCATCTTATTTTAGGCAATTTGGTTTCCTTATTAGCAAAACAGAAGGAGGTCTGGAAAATCACAAAAGACACACCAGAATATTTTGATTACGTAAAATTAATAAACTTTTACATGAGTAAAATCAATGTGATTAGAATAAGAAAAATGTCATCTTCAGAATTTTCTTTTTTTCTTTTTTTTTTTTTTTTGGTTGGGCAATGGGGGTTAAGTGACTTGCCCAGGGTCACATAGCTAGTAGATGTTACGTGTCTGAGGCAGGATTTGAACTGAGGTCCTCCTGAATCCAGGGCCAGTGCTCTATCTACTGCGCCACCTAGCTGCCCCCCATCTTCAGAATTCTGCCAAATTTTTAAAGAAAAATTTCTACTCATATTCCACAAATTATTCCCTTCAAATCAATTGCATTCCAAACTTCCCCCAAGTTTTAAACTTTCTTTTGAAGTCAACTACCATTTCAGTCTCCCAAATTTGTAACCTTAGTGCTCAACAACTCCTGATTCTCCCTGCATATATCCAATTAGTTATTTTTCCAGATTGCAAACAATTTTTTTATTTCATTAAATATTTCTCAATTACATGTAAGCATTTTTAAACATTTGTTTCTAAAAAATTTTGAGTTCCAAATCCTTCCTCTGCCCCCTTGAGAAAGCAAGCAATTTGATATAAATTATACATGTGAAGTCAGGCAAAATGTATTACCATTATTAACGATATTGCAAAAGAAAACAGACCAAAAAAAAAAAAGTAAAAAAAAAGTTTCAATCTGTATTCAGACTCATCAGTTTTTTCACTAGAGGGTGAATAACATTTTTCATCATATGTCCTTCAGAATTATCTTAGATCATTGTCTTGATCAGAATAGCTAAGTCCCTGACAGCTGATCATTATATTATAACATTACTGTATACAATGTTCTCCTGGTTCTGCTCATTTCCCTTCTCTTTACGGTTTATCTTCTTATACTTGAGTCTTGTATTTGAAGTCAAATTTTCTATTCAGCTCTGGTCTTTCCATCAGGAATGCTTAAAAGTCCTTTATTTAATTAAATATCCATTTTTTTCCCCTTGAAGAATTATACTCATATATATATATATATATATATATATATGTGTTTTGCTGGGTAGAGTTATAATCCTTTGCCCTCCAGATATCATCTTCCAAGCCTTCCAAGCCTTTAATGTAGAAACTGCTAAGTCCTTTGTTATCCTGACTGTGGCTCCACAATATCTGAATGGTTTCTTTCAGGCTGCTTGTAATATTTCCTCCTTGATCTGGGAGCTCTGGAATTGGGATATAATATTCCTGGAAGTTTTCATTTGGGGATCTCTTTCAGGAGGTGAGAGGTAGATTCTTTCAATTTCAATTTTGCCCTCTGGTTCTAAAATATCAAGGCAGTTTACTTGATAATTTCTTGAAATATGATGTGCAGGTTTTTTTTTTTTTTTGATCATGGTCTTCAGGTAGTACAATTATTCTTAAATCATCTCTCCTCAATCTATTTTCTAGGTCAGTTGTTTTTCCAATAAGAGAGTCTGCATTTTCTTCTATTTTTTTTTCATTCTTTTGATTTTGTTTAATTGTTTCTTAATGTCTCATGAAGTCATTAGCTTCCACTTGCCCAATTCTAAATTTTAAGGAGTTCCTTTTCTTCTGTGAATTTTTGTACCTCTTTTTCCATTTGGTCAATTCTGCTTTTTAAGGAATTCTCTTCAGTGGATTTTTGTGCTTCTTTTACCATTTGGTCTATTCTCTTCTTTTAAGGTGTTATTTTCTTCAGTATTTTTTTGTACCTCTTTTACCAAGCTGTTGACATTTTTCTTTTTCTTCAATATGTCTTTTTATTTTTAAAATTAAGCTTTAATGTATTTACAAAAATGTCCTCTGGTAATTTACAAATTGGGGACACAAATTTTTTCTTACTATAATGGCACAGCAGAAAAATTCCATCTATGCCATAAAAACACTATTTGAAAATTTCAATTAAGTCACTTCAAAAGGGACATAAAATGTTATATCATGTACTTCATATCTTTTTTTCCAATTACATATAAAGACAATTTTTAACATTCATGTTTTTGGGCAATTGGGGTTAAGTGACTTGCCCAGGGTCACACAGCCAGTAAGTGTCAAGTGTTTCGTCTGAGGCTAGATTTGAACTCAGGTCCTCCTGACTTCAGGGCTGGTGCTCTATCCACTATGCCAATACCTAGCTGCCCCTTTAACATTCATTTTTAAGCGAAATTTTGAGTTCTAAATTTTCTCCCTCCCTCAGACAGTAAGCAATTTGATATAGGTTATATATGTGCAATCATATAAAACATATTTTCATATTAGTGTTGACTACTTTCTTGTATCACTCTCATTTCTTTCTTCAATTTTGCTTGTACCTCTCTTATTTGATTTAAATCCTTCTTGAGCGCTTCGAAGAATTCTTTTTTTGGGGCTGGAGACCAATTTACATTTTCCTTTGAGGCTTTGTACATAGCTATTTAAGCTTTGTTGCCTTCTGAGTTTGAGTTTTGACCTACTTTTTTTGACCTACTACCACAGTAACTTTCTATGGTCTTTTTTTGTTCTTTGCTCATTTCCCAGCCTATTTCTTGAATTTTACTTTTATGCTAAAGTTGATTTCTGCTCCTGGGGTAGAGGGGGTACTATCCCAAACTTCAGGTTTTTCATGCTGCTGTTTTCAGAACTAGTTCTGGGGGTCTGTAAGTTTTCAGTTCTTTCAAGGTGGTATGATCTAAGGAGAGGTATAATTACTTCTCTCCTGGTCTGTGAGGAACTCTGACCAGGGTCCCAGCTCCTGTTAGTGCACCTCCTGGTCCTAGGAATTCAACCTATACCACGTACAGTCAATGTAACAGTATCTTGCACCAAATACCAGCAAAGGGTCCCGTCTTTCTGACCAGCTGTCCGACCCCTTTACCATCTGTGGGCTGAGAGCTCAGGAAGGTGCTTCTACTGCTGTAGCAGCCACTGCCCCCAAAAAGCATGGTGCTGGCTTGCTGAGATGCGTGGCCAGCACTGCACTGCACTCCACTCTCACCGCGGTGAGACAGACCTTTCCTGCCAACCTTTCAAATTGTCTTGGGCTAGAGAAATTGTTTCACCCAGTCCTTGGGTTGGTTCTGCTGCTCCAGAATTCATTCTAAGCCATTAGTTACAAAGTTGTTTGAAGGGTAATTTGGTAAAACTCTGGCAAGGCCCTCCCTTTACTTCACCATCTTGGCTCTGCCCCCATGAAGCCTTTTCTTATCCCAACTGTTAGTGGCTCCCCCCTTGATAATGACCTTGTATTTAACTACTCTGCTAGAGGCAGGCTGCACAGTGGGTAAAATCAGTGGACTTGGAGTCAGGAACACCCGAGTTCAAATTCCAACAATTAGTATGGAATCCTGGGCAAGTCATTTAACCTCACTGCCTCAGTTTCCTCAACTGTAAAATGGGGGTATTAATAGAAGCTACCTCATAAGGGTATTGTAAGAATCAAATGAGGTAATATATGTATGGTGCTTTTTAAACCTTAAGGTAATAAATAAATGTCAACTATTATTATTTGTAAATATTCTCTTATTTTGTATATACATGTGTACTCATGAAGAGTTGGGCATGACTGAAAAATGACCAAACAATAAATGAAAGTCTGTTTGTGTATGTATATGGATGCAAGATCCAGAAGAATAGCAACTGTTTCATTCTTTACCCTTGTATCACCAGTGCCTAACACAGTGCCTAACAGCACATATTATGTACTTAGAAAATGTTTATCAATTAAATGACAGTAGGGTCCTTTTCATAAGAGATAAGTATGGTAAATAGACTTCTTCCTGTCTATAATTTTAATGAGCGTCCAGATGTTACAAATGTTAGAGAATGAATATCCTCAATGAGAAATTTTCCTTCAAATATTGGTAAGATGCAGTCTGTGCATGGAAACATCTACTACTGACCCAGTTCAACAATCAAAAACTCTTTGCTGCGCACTATCAGCCAGAGGCACATCCAATACACAAATGGACTGTGCAGGACAGGACTGAAGAATCCCCATCTTCTGTGAGCACCATCAGCACTCACCTAAACTCTTAGGCCCTATACCAGTGATTTTCAATTTAATTCAATAGACATTTATTATGTACCTCCTATGTGTAAGGTACTGTGCTAGGACACAAGGATGTATGTGTCTATTGGAGTGTACATCTTTCCCCACAAATTAGACTGTAAACACTCTGAGGCTCAGGGAACATGTTACTTATTTCTGTAGCCCAAAGAGCTTGGGATATGGTAGATGCTTAGTTAATGTTGGCAGAATATAACCAAATTAAAAATGTAGAAACTAAAGAGAGAACAAAAGAAACCTCATACTATATCTGAACATTTCAGAATGAAGTCTTTTCTTATTTTAGGCATTTTTAAATTACAAAGCTAAGACATATTGGTATGGAACGAAATGCTGATACAAGAGTGATTCCTACCAGATGCTCTGCTATTCTCCTCAGAGTCTTCCTCTTCATCATCATCAGAGTACTTTTTCTTCACTGTTTTTCTTCTCAAACGCCTGCTCTGCCTCATTGGCTTGGAGTGGTGTCGCCGGGGTCTTCGGGCACAGAATTCGGTGTCACTGTCATCATTTGACGGCTGTTCTTCCTCACTCTCATCTGGGTTCTCCTCTGACACAACAAACTCATCCTGAGATCTGTCCAAGAGGCGAAAATTATGGACAATAAAGAATGGATTGTGAATGTTTGCCAAGACCTGAGAGATCTAGTTTCAATTCCCAGTCCTTGTACTAATTTATTATGCCAACTTTAGCAGTAGGAAGGGTTCTAACATGAACTAGTCATCATGTGCCTGAATTTTCTTTCTTGTAAAATCAGGAAATTATGTAAAATGGGAATAACATAGTCAAGCTACTTCCCCATCAAGTGAGATGGTCTACATAAAGTGCTTTGAAACTATAAACATGCTAGATTTAGATATAAAATAAAATTATAATTGTCAGATTTTAAGTGCCTGGGAGGCATATATTGTTTTATTTTTCTTTGTTGTCCAATTCAATGCAAAAACCCCCAAACAAACAAAAAAATGGCAAAAAATCCCCCAAACCCATTTACTGAATATATCTCCTGTGCATAGGGCACTGTGCTATGAATACAGGTGCTAAAGCAACAAATGAAAATGGACAGATCATTCACCTAAGAAAATTTATAACCTAATAGGAAAAAAAGATATTTATACAAATAAGCATATTAATATTTAGAATGTCATAAGTAAAGAAGAGAGATTCAAAAGAAAGGTACATGGGATTTGAGGAAGGGAAAAAAATCACTTCCAGTACAAGCTAATTAGTATAGTGTCTTACAAATAATGGGTGCTTAAGAAATAGTTGGTTAATTGCTAATAAACACCTTTAAGTGGCACACTTGCATCTACGGTGGTTAATTAAAATGAGGTAAAAGTTTAAAAACTGAAGCAGTTTAATTCAAGACTGATTGTATCATGTCTGAGGCTGGATTTGAACTCAGGTCCTCCTGACTCCAGGGCTAGTGCTCTATCCACTGTGCCATCTAGCTGCCCCAAGACTAATTTCTATTGCAGTGTACAAAGAATAAAGAGCTTTAGCTTCTCTGATAGTTCAAGTTCTCTCTCTATTCCGCATCATCTCTGGCTGGGTCACTGCTGGCCTGCACCAATGGCTCTGTCTTTCCACTTCCAGCTTACCCATCACTGATCTTGAATTCATCCTCACTCTCCTCTTCATCCAGATTGCTGTCACTATCAAGATCATTCAGCCGCCGCCGTTTCTTCCGTCGGGCAGCAGCTGCCCGCTGTGGCCGCTTACTTTCTTTCCTTTCTTCTTCCAAAATGGTTGAGATGTCTTTCCCTCGGTGACCTGTAATGGTGGAAATATCTTTTCCTCTGCCAATTCCTATATCAAAGAAAGGAGAAAAAAGTGAAGAAATGGAGCATTCACAGTTTATATTTTACAAAAGAATATCACCCTTCCTCTGCAACTGTTCAACCCCCTCCCCCATTTCAACCAATAAGCAGCTTTCTCATTACTTCAGCCTACTGAACCAGACCTAGTATTTATGCTGTAACAAGACAGTCATGAGAATGTCAAAGAATGGCTGTTGGTAGCTGCCTCTAATTATGCCAAACAAACCTGTTTATTATAAAGAAGGCTTTTATTTAATTTTTATTTAATTTTATTTAATTTTAATTTTATTTTTATTTAAACCTGTTTATTATAAAGAAGGCAACCCTGCACCAGACTGACTAATAACAATAGCAAACAGACGGCACTTTCATGTTTGTGAAGCTTTAAAGAGAAGATCACAATTCAGACTTGCAATAACCCAATGAGATGGGCACTACCGGTAATAATATCCCTATTTCACAAATGAGGAAACTGAAGCACAGAGAGGTTAAAAGACTTGGCAGTGGTCACAAAGATAATAATCCTCAGAGGTGACATCTGAAACCAGGTTAATTCTCAGTTTACTAGGCAATATTATCCCTGAAAATGAAGAACAATAAAAACTCAGCTGGTAAATTTGTAATGCTGCTAACAAATTTAATTAAATCTAAGTTTTGTTCAAAAAATGGCAGACTCCCTTGGCAAGGTCATTTCAACCCCTGCTGCCCTTCAGTTAACCTACTTGGTAGACAGGTATTTTGAGAGCTTTCCTATGAATGGACCTGGTGCCAGCTAGACAACACAAGCTGATATCATCTCTAGTTTATAAGTCTGGTTATCTGACAGAGGCTAAACACAAACAAACAAACAAACAACCATTTATAGTCAATAAAAGCGACCCTATCCTTCACAAGGTCATGAAGTGGGCAAAGGGGTTCATCAAATACAGTGAGACAAAGAAACTATCAATCTTCAAGGACCTGGTAGTAAAAAAAAAAAGCACTTATATTCATATAAACAGGGCATGTTTTCATCAATAGACTCTACTCTCTTTCTCTAAAGGAAGTGGCCAATAACAACCAATAGCAGGAATACTCCAATGCTTGCTAGCAACCTGGTCAGGCTACTTGCCTCTACTTGGAGAAGGCAAGTTATTGTTGCATAAATTTGGGTTGGCTCCACAATGGAACACTCATACCACCATCCATTATACAGATGTCAACATCGCTTTCTGGGATGTGATTCCCACACAGTTTGGGTTGTTTTGTCTCTCTGAATCCACACATTTCGTATTCATGGAATAATGGGTATTTCTTAGAAGCAGATGTATTGGTCTTTGTTCATGTCTGACAGAAAACCAGAAGCTGTTCTGAGAGGATCAGATTATGAGAGGGAACTATGATCGAATCTCTTAATTCATTAGGTATGATTACCCTTACAGTAACTACTCTAGTCTTTTATTGTAACAAAATTTAAGAGATCCTGATTATGAGATCCTTGATTATTAAATCAAGGTGAAAAACAGATTGTCTAAAAGTCACCAATGAGCTTTTCTGAAAACAAATACTTGAAAATCAACACACCTCATGTAAAAAGTTTCCTTTGATTTTCCACTTGGGGAAAAAAGTAAACACTTTTAATAGTTATAATGAAAATATAGAATTTAGAACCAGCCATAGAACAAAAACTCCCTCATAATAAGTAAAGTCTGGTTCTATGCTTTTAAAAATAATCAGGAGTATTTAATTTGAAAATGAGGTTGCTCATCATATTATATGCACTAGTAACATTTACTATATAATATTTAAACCTGTTGTCCTTTTCCAGGGTATGTGGAGTATATTTTCGACAGGGCTGAAAATAACAGAGACATACCCCCTCCATCAGCTTCTTTGATATCATCTTCAATTGCTTCATCAATTGCCTCATCAAATTCATCAAATCTAAAACAATCACATAATGTTTACATTAAAACTCGGATATAATTTATATAATTAGAATTTTATGGTTTGAAATCATGTTTAAAAACTGTCCCATTTTATTGATGCGAAAACCTAACCTAAATATAGTTAAGTAACTTGACCAACATTACATATCTGGTTAACAGTAGAGATGAGAGAAAAACCCAGGCTGCCCAACTCACAGCTGCGTCATCCTCCCCTTCATTCTACTGCGCATGCTTTATGAAACACTCTTCCCTTACTGACAGTTGGGGGAATGCATGAAGAGCTTCATGCATGGCAGAAACAAAAGAAAAGAACTTTAGAAAGAAAAAGCTAGTGGGAAATGAAGACCAATAAATGTGCTCTTTCAAAGAAACAAAGATGATGTCTTTGCATTTTGGAAATATCTCCAGAAGTAAAAGTTAACACAAGTTATGATATGGATACCACCTTCACTTAATATAAACATCATGTTGGTCATTTAAATCTTATCTCGCCTCTTCTTGAGTATTATGTTCAAAAGAATACAGCTTCACTTACATTAACTTGCATTTTTATAGTGTTGAAGTTTTACAAGATGATTTCTTTATAACTCTGTGAGGTGGCAGGGCAAATTTTATCACCATGTCACAGATAAGGAAATTGAACCTCAGAGATGAGAAGATATGACTTGGGGTGGGGGGTGTTGTGATACAGGTTATGAGAAAGGTATGAATAGGAGAGATTGTGGACATGAACTCAAAAAGCTTTAGCAACTGACTGGATACTGGGGAGATGCATCAAGAGACCATCAACCCAGGTGACTGAGAAAATAGTAGGTGTTGGAGGATAGGTTTGATTAGGGGGGAAGATGGTTTTCACTTAGGACATGCTGAGTTTGAGATGCCTATGGGACATCCAAATTGACATGTGCAGTAGCCCAGTAATAATGTAGGTCAGGACAGTTCAGGAGACAGATAAGTTTTGGAAAGAAAGCTAGGTGGTACAGTAGATAAGGCACTGCTTTAGGAGTCCAGAAGACCTGAGTTCAAAATGTTAAATCAGAGAGAATTCAGAACTGAAAAAAAAAATTAATTAAAAAAAAATTCTGCCTCAGATACTTACTAGTGTGACCCTGAGCATTTTATTTAACCTCTATTTTAGTGTTCTCATCTATAAAATAAAGATAATAATAGCACCTACCTCCCAGAGTTGTTAAGACAGCAAAATGAGTTAATATATGTACAGTGCTTCACAAACTTTAAAGCCCTATGTAAAATTTAGCTATTTTATAAACATATATATTGTGTGTGTGCATGTGCATGTGCATGTGCATGTGTATTTGGGAGTCATTTACATAGGAATGATATTCTAACCTATAAGAGCAGATGAAATCACCATGGAAGAGAAAACAGTGAAAAAGGAAGAGGTTCAGAATGGAACCCTTCAACATAACCACAATAATGGGACAAGACATGGTCCAGCAAAGGAGATGAGGAGAAGAAATCAGCCTGGTGGAACAGTCAGGAGAGTATAGCATCAAGGAAGTCTAGGAAGGAATCTTCAGAAGAAAGAGCCAGTCACACAGTGTCAAAAGTTGCAGAGAGGTCATGGAAAATGAAAATTGAAAAAAGAATATTGAATTTAAGAGGTAAGAGACTGATGGTAACCTCTGAAAGAGTTAAGGAGTAAGCCTAGAATCCAAAGTGTAAGGTGCCAAGGAGTGTTAAGGGGTATGAGCAAGAGGTGTCAGTGAATAGAAAAGATTCTTTCTAGGAGTCTGTCAGTAAAAGGGAAAAAGACATAGGCTGGTACCCTGACAGGATCACATAAGGCAGTGTGGTACAGTAGAAACAGTATTGTATTTTACATCAGAAGAACTGAGTTTTGATATGATTGCATCTTAAAACCTGTGAGACCTATGGAAAACCCCTTCACCTTGATAAGCATCAATTTTCTGATCTCTAAGATGGGAAGTCTGGATTTTATTACTGCTAAGGTTTCTTCTAAATCTATGAAACTCTGAAGAAAATATAGGGTAGACCAGAGCATTTTTGTAGGCAATTAAAAAAGGACCCAGAAGATAGAGTGACACTGAATATAAGGAGAGAAAGGAACTAATATGAGGAAAAAAAGATTATAGACAGGAGAGGATAGAAGGCACAATCACAGGAGCTGGTATTAGCAGAGGAAGAACCAACTCTTCCTAATAGATGAGGGTAAAAGGGGAAAGGAGAGTTGTAAAGGTAGGGGTGAAGGAAGAAGGAATTGAGGTGTGAAATAGGAGAAATGAAGGGGCTTGCAACATATGGCCTACATTTTCTCAGTAAGATGAGAGGTGAAGATATCTGAAGAGTAGAGCAGGAAATAAGCACAGGAAGTATGATAAAATTTAAAATATCGCTGCTAAATGTGATTGCAAATCAAAAAATAAGAAGGATTTCTCCACATGAATTTTGTTATTATTGTATCTGCTCTATAAGCTTTCCTTTGGGTAGCCTGATTTGGTGGAGCATTAAAACTGTAAATTAACTTTAATGATAATGTCATTTTTATTATATTGGTAAAACAGGCACAGCTATAAACATTAAATATCATTTCAGCTATTTTTTTAAAATGCATTTTGTAGTTACTTTGAATAAGATCACCCAATTATTGCTTTTTGGATTATGTTATTTTATAGAAAATTTTTTTTTATTTTTGTCAGATTATTCTCAGCAACTTTACTAAAGTTATTGTTTCAACTACTTTCCTTGCTGATTCCCTAGAATTTTATAAGTCATCATGTCATCAGAAAATAGGGACAGTTTTCTCTCTTCTTTGCCTTTCTTTAAGCCTTTAGTTTCTTCCTCTCTTCTTACTGCTATTGTTAGTATTTCTAGAACTTTATCAAATAATAATAGGGAAAGTGGGCACCTTTGCTTTATCCTTGTATTTGCTGGGAAAATTTCAGGAATAGAGGTTCTTAACCTAGAGATCCCCATGGGACTCAGAGATTTCAGGAGATTGTGAACTAGGAGGGGAAAAATTACACCTTTGTTTTCACTAAACTCTAAATGAAATTTTGCATTTCCCTTAACTTTTAAAAACATTATTCTGAGGCGTCCAAAGACTTCACCATAATGCCAAGAGTCCATGACACAAAAAATGTTAAGAATCCCTATTCTAGGGGCAGCTGGGTGGTACAGTGGAGAGAGCTCTAGCCTTGGAGTCAGGAGGGCATAAGTTCAAATCCGGCCTTAGACACCTGACACTTACTAGCTGTGTGACCCTGGGCAAGTCACTTAACCCCAACTGCCTCAACAAAAAGCAAAAAATAAATAAATAAAACAAAATAAAATAAAAATCCCTATTCTAGAGTATCACCATTTCAAATGATCTAATTCATTAATAATATCAATCTGAATTTGTAAATATATATTCAGTTCATTAGTGCTTTCTTTGTCTATTTTGCTAATGTATATTTTCAGGGATATGATTTTTCCTCTGACAAAATAACAACACTATCAAAGTTAATTTACAGACTTAGAACAACAGTACTCAAACTTCCAAAGGGAAATCCTACAGAGTTAAATAAAATGTTACAAAATTCATTTAAAGGAACAAAAGATCTAGGATATCAAGGGAAATGATGAAAAAAACGTAGGAATGAAGGAAGATTAGCAATTCCGGACCTCAAATTACATTATAAAGCAGTAATCATTGAAAATCATTTACTGTTAGTTAAAACCATAAAAATTTAACAATGAAACAAAACTAGACAAAGGAGAAATGGAACAACAATAGCCTATTGTTCAATAAACCTAAAAGTATAAATTATTAAAAGAACTCATTTGTATTTGTTAAGATTGCCGGGAAAATTGTAAAGTAGTGTGGCAAAAATTAGGTTCAGGTGAATATATTAAAACATATTCAATAACAAATTCAAAATGGATACATGACCTGAATATTCAAGATCATACCATAAAAAAAAATTAAAAAAAAAAAGCACATATCTTTCACAGCTATGGGTAGGAGATGAATTCTTAACCAAACAAAGAATGGAGATCATTACAAAGAATAAGATAGATAATTTTGATTACCTGAAATTGAAAAGCTTTTGTGCACACGAAAAGTTAATGCACCTAGGATAAGAAGGGAAGCCATCTCCTGGGAAAAAATCTGTGTACCAAATTTCTTGGATAAGGGTTTGGTATCTAAGATATATAGACAACAAAGAGAAATACAGAAAAACAAAAGCCATTCCCCAACAGAGAAGTGATAAAAGGACATAAACAAACAGTTCTCAGAAGAATTGCAGACAAAAACCATATGAAAGAATGCTCCAAATCACTGATAAAAGAAACACAAAGCAAGGAACCCTAGGTTTTACCTGGTACCTAGCAAAATGGCAAAGATGATAAAAGTTAGGTATACAGGGGTCAGTGTGGGATGGGGTGTGAAAAGAAAGGAACATCACTGCACTTTTGGAGGAGCTATAAATTAGCACAGCTATTTAGAAAGTAATTTGGAATTATGTGAAAAAAGTGACTAAAATATATAGACCTTTTGACCCAGGGGCTCCAGGATTAAGAATATACCCCAAGGGGGTTGGTGACAAAAAGAAAGGTTCACTATACATCAAAATATTTATAGCAACACTTTCTTTGATAGCAAAGAAAAATATCCACTGATTGTGATACATAAATGTAATGGAATATTATTTTCCATTATATGGAAAAGTCTCACATGAACTGACGCAAAGTAATATAGGGAGAGCCAGAGAAATATACATAAGGATTACAACATGGAAATGATAAGAATAACAACTACAAAAGAAGTGAAAATGAATATTGCAAAATTACAAAGAATAAGCTTGACCCCAAAGTAGAGAAATGAGAAGACAATTCCCTCCAAGCCCTTTGCAATGGTGGCAGGGTCCATGTATATGCAACATTGCATGTAATTCATTTCACTGCATTATTTTTTTCTCTTTGACCTCCATTTCTTTTTCCTAAAAATATTCTTTGTTACAAGGGATGGTTCTCAGTGGGGAGGGGCACAGGAGGAAATGAAAAGAATAAAAGAATTTTTTGTGCAGCTGTGAGGGCCCAGCAGAGAAGAAAATATGAACTGGTTAGTGCCCCCAGTACAGAGGCATAATTTTCATTAGGAGTATTCAGCAAATTAAGAAGTAAAGAAGGCTGACAGTGGGTGGGAGTGATTCAGGGTTGAGGAATTAATGGCAGGAAATGAATGGTAGAGGGCAATGTATAGTTGAAATGGTTAAATGTAAAGGGAGTTAAGTGAGAAGAGAATGAGGGCCATGGACTGGGCTAATGGAGAGATGAAAAGAACTGAACCTGCTGTGATGATGAAGAATAAGCATTTATTTAGTGTCTACTATATTTTAGGCACTATACTGGCACCTGAGATTAAAAAAAACCCCAAAATAATTTTTACTCAAAAGTTTACTCTCTACTAGAGGAGATAATAACAACTAATAATTCTATAGCATTTATTATGGGCCAGGCACTGTGTGAAGCACTTTACAATTATTATCTTTTGCTCTTCCCAACAACGCTAGGAGGCAAGGGCTGTTATTACCACCATTTTACAGACAAAGTAAACAAAGGCTAAATGACCTAACCAGGGTCACAAAGCTAATATGGGTCTGAGACCAGATTTGAACATGTGTCTTTTGGACTCCAGGCCTAGCATTCTATCCACTGCACCATTAAGCTGCCCAAATAACAAATACATATAAAAGTATATGCAGAAGAAATAGATAAAAATAAATATAAGGTATTTAGGGAGGAAGGGAAATTGAGGAAGATCAATAACAGTTTCATAGAGATGCTGCTTGAACTGCATCTTGAAGGGATTGAGTAAGAGGTAAGGAGGATATTCCTTATTCCCATTCATTGAACTTCCATCACTTAGCATAGTGCATGGCATATGTAGGCACTTAATAATGTGTGTTTACTGTCTAATTGGCATGGGGTACAGTCAGTGCAAAGGCACACAGATGGGAGACGGCATGTAGGCCAATCTGGTTGGGCTGTTAACAAACAGGAAGAGAAGTAATGTAAAAAAAACAGACTTAGGAAGTATCAGAGGGAAAGAGATCCTAGGAGACTATGAGCAGTGAGAAGAATTTCACATTCAAAAGCATACAGATAGCACAAGTACATGAAATGCTGAGTCCTAAGGAATTACTATTTTTGAGGATCCCTGTGGTAAGACAGAGGTCGTGGGAGTTGAGTGTATTAGTCAGCTAGAATGTTGTATGCATTTTAGTTGCTCTGTATAAGGGAAGGGGTGAGTAGGAAAGAACTACTAGGTACTAAATTCCTAAATAAAGGCAGGGGACTAACCTGGATTCACGTAGATGACAATCACAATAAGGGTGATACAAGTGAACAGAATGAACAAAAAGGAGGGTTTGCTGACTGACAGTGGTAGAAGGCTATTTGGACACTAGGAGTATGCTAGGAGTCAGGTCTGTGTCCCCAGGTAAAGAATGAACTTACACATGGCCACAGCTCCTTAGCTACACACCAAGATGGCTGAGGATGACACAGACTGAGAGAAATCAAATATGCACCTGGCATCAAAGCCCTTGGTCCTCTCCTTCAGGCAACAGGCACTGGATCTGAGACCCTGGTGAGGACAGCACCAAACTAGAAGGCCAGCTGCTTTAGCAAGAATTACATTCTTAGTATCTCTGGACCTCCTAAAGCAGTGAAGGTTCCTAGTGGAACCATAAGCAAGTTTGTGAAGATAAATACCACAATCAAGTTCTTCTCTTAAAATATTTCCATAAAATCAACATGGATTCCTCACCAGGAAATCTAGGTTTCACACACAGTTAAGTGTGTATGTATGGGCTTTTGGCAGGTTATACCAAGAAGCACAGTGAATGAAGGACTGGCAGTTTAGGCTTCTTCCACTGTACAACACTCCCTCATGGCATGACATGAGGACAGCTGAAGAAAAATAGGATGGGTCTGGAGAAGAAATACTTCAGGGATATATGTCAGTTGTCTTCATGAGACAATGTCATAGGTCTTATTCTGCTTGGCCTTGATAAGCAGCAGTTGCAGAGAGACAAATTTAGGCTTGATGTTAGTAAAGACTTACTAACAATTAGAAATGTATCAAATGGAATGGAATGTCTCAGGAGAATTGGGTTTTTCCTTATCTGAAGTCCTCAAACAGAATGTCGGGGATCACTTTTTGGATTCCTTTTCCTCTTTTTTCTCTTTGAGATACAGGTCCTGTAGTGGTATTACTGAGTCAAAAGACTCACACAGTTTAGTAACTTTGGGTGCACAGTTCCAAATTGCTTTCCAGAATGGCCCTATCACATTCAGTGGATTAATATTCAGGTATAGGTTGTACTAACTAGCCTTTTAATGCTGAATTCTCATTCCCTGATCAATGATGAAGTCTGTGAAATAAAGTCAAAGAAACATACTACTGAATGTGCTACAAAGACAGTCAGTCCTTAGTGTTATAGGTCTTAAATACAAAGAATTATGGTGTTTTCCAAGATAACCAGCAAGTAAATCCTTAAGTTTTAAAGTTGTATGTGTTAATGGAAAGAACAAGAAACTTGAGATCAGCAGAATAAAGATTTTTATCCGGGTGTTGCCACTACCAGGATGACTGACCAAGAACAAGTCACTTAATCTCACAGAGCCTCAACTCCCTTTTTTTGTAAAATGAGGGAGCTGGAGTGACTTACAAGGTTCCTTCCAACTCTAACATGCTACAGATGGCTAATAATAGACATAAATTCAAGGAGGAGGCACACTGAGCTGATTCTGTAATAAAAAAGCCTTTCTTAGGTTTTTCTCCCCCTGCATTATAACCATGGAAACAAAATTTCCTACCTATAACTTATACACTTCCTTGTTCTTGTTGATCTCCTTTCGAGAAAGTGTGTTTTGGATTTTTTGGAATCTTTCTTCTTTTCTTCATGATCATCAGCTAATTCTGGTTCCTGTTTTAATAACAAAATATTGATTAGGTAGGTAATGCTCATGATCACACAGAAATTTTACTTATAGCCTTAACAGGGTTCTAATATCTCAAAAAGATAAAACAAATATGCAGTCTGTATACACATTATTTCTTACTTCTCTAAATATGCCATGGATTTATGTTTTCATCTTTTTACAGATGTGAACTGAAATCCCCTTCAGGGCCTTAGGAGATAAATTATTTCACTGAGTTGCTTTCACTAAAAAAAATTCACCACTTTGGTAACCGACCCTATAATAATTAGCTTTTATTTAGATTAACGAGGCCAGGCTAGTCCTTAGCCAAAAAACACATAGTCCATTGCTGTGCCATTCCTAAGGTCTTTCTTGCTTGGTAAGATTTGTGATCTGCTGGTTTAACCTCTGAGAAACCAATACTGCTGTAAGACCATCTTGCTGCTAAAATCTCAGCAACAATACTAAACAAAGATGAGACAGAAAAAGACCAAGCGAGGAAGATCCACTTATTTCAGGCCATTATACATCTGGGAGCTCATCATTTCTTGGACATACATTTGTTTGGTAGGTAGAGAAGAACTCGAAATGCACTGAAATAAAATTTGCAAAGATCATGTTCTTTCCACCATACCAAGTTTTAAAAAATTTACAGATGTAAGCAACTAATCAAACTCAAAATTCCACAGCACCTTGCATTTACTAGAGAAAGGTAAGAATCTTTAACAAGTGATCTTACACTGTCTTATCTAAAATTCATCATTTGTGAAGCACAAAAGGGAAACAGTTAATTAGGAAAAAAAATTTTTGCAGTAAGTTTCTCTGATAAAGGTCTCATTTCTAAGATATAGAAGGCACTGATTCAAAATTTTTAAGACTAAGAGCCATTTCCCAACTGACAAATGGTCCAAGGATATGAACAGAGGTTTTCTAAGCAAGAAATTTAAGTGATCCATTTGTTGTTGTTGTTGTTTTGAAATCATTTTAGTTGTATCTAACTCTTTGTGACTCTATTTGGAGTTTTCTTGGCAAAGATACTGGAGTCGTTTGTCATTTCCTTTTCCAGCCCATTTTACAGATGAGGAAACAGAGGCAAACAGAGTTAAGTGACTTGCCCAGGGTCACACAGCTACCAAGTGTCTGAAGATGGATTTGAATTCAAGAAGAAGAGTCATCCTGATTCCAAACCCAGTGTTCTATCCACTGTGCATCTAACTGAACAAGTTATCTATACCCACATGAAAAAGTGCCCCAAACTAAAGAAAAAAAGCACAAATGTTGGCAGTGCTGTAGGAAAAATAGGCACATTGATGTAATAATCATAAGAACTAGCATTTATATAATGATCTCAGGTTTGCAAAGCATTTTATTCATAGGTTAACTCATTTATCTTGCTGGTGGATCAATGAATTGGACTGGTCATTCTGGAAAGCAATATGGAACTATCCCTCCAAGGTTACTTAACTATGCCTGTTACCAGGCCTATATGTAAAAAAATAAAATAAAATAAAATAAAAAAATAAAAGCAGGGAAGAGTCCTGTATGCACAAAAATACTCATAGCAGTTCTTTTTGTAGTATCAGACTGAGGGGATGCCTATCAACTGAGGAATGACTGAACAAATTACATTATATGAATGCAACAGAATACAACTGTGCTGTAAAAAATGAATGGATTTAAGAAAAATTTTATTAACAGATATGGAGTGAAATGAGAACCATCATAATTTATACTATCAAAACTGTAAGAATGAATAACTCCAAAAGATTAAGAACTCTGATCAATGCAATGAATAGCCATATTTCCAGAGAACTGTTAATGAAAACAGTTCACAATAGAGAAGAATGAGAAACATCTGAGACACATTTTTGGATGTGGTCAATATGGGAATTTGTTTTGCTTGACTATTTCTTATTAGAGTTTCCTTTTTCTTTTTTCTCTTTTTTCCAGTGGCGATGGGGATGAGAAAATGCTTAAACATTGTGCTACACACACAGTAGGTACTTGTTAAATTTAACTTATATATCTACCTTTGATAAGTTGTACGACCTTGGCCATATCATTTAAATTCTCTGAGTGTCAATTTCCTGATCTATAAAATAGGACAAAAATCTTGTACCTATCTACCTCACAAAGACTTTTATAAGTAAAGTACTTGGTCAACTATATAGTGTAGGTCATGAATTCCACTGGTACCTTGAAATTTCAGGAGAACTTGAGGAAGATCATCAAAAGGCTAGTAAAGTTCACTGTGCATGCATATGTACACACACACACACACACACACACACACACACACACGAAATAACATACTTGTTTCTCCCCTTAGAATGTAAACTCCTTGAGAGGAGACTATCTCATACTTTGTACTTGTCTCCCTGGGGCCTTGCACTATAGGCACTTAATGGTTGTTGACTGACGGATACCACAACCAGGATTCTTTCTTATGTAGAGGTCTAGTCCACTCTTTTTCTCAAAATTATTTAATTCTTCTTTGTCTACTGAATAAAGAACAAATTTTTGCCTCCATCTCTCTTTCCAGACTTACGTTATTTTCTTGCACATTTGGGAAACTTCTTCAAGCAGACCTACTCTCTTTCTAGAACCTAGTGCTCTTTCTTGCCTAGAACAAAGAGGGTTCCCACCACTCCCTCAGCCTGGAATGTCTCCTCTCTTATTTGCCTGAATTCCAACCATTTTTTAAAGTCCAATTCAATGTTACTTTTTGACACCTTCACTAAATGACAGAATTGTCTATGATCCTCCCCCTGAGATCTCTCATAGTATTTTGTTTTGCATCTCTGCAATGTACCTATCAAGTATTATTGTGATCACCCTATGAGACTGTAAGCTACTCTAGCACAAGGATTATAACTTACCTAAACTTTGCATCTTCTCCAGGACTCAGTACAGTGCCCTACATATAACAATCATTTAATAAGTAAAGTCAACAAGCATTTGTTAAGTGCCTATTATGTGCCAGGCATCATGCTAAATACCGAGGATACACACAAAGGCAAAAAGATGTTCCTGCTCTCAAGAAACTCATAGCACACCAACAACTATGTACAAAGGAACTATATACTGCATAGACTGGAAAGAGCCAACAGATTAGTTTTAAGAGGGGCCAAGAAAGTCTTTCTGTAAGGAGGTGAGATTTCAGCTGGGACTTGGAAATCAGGGAAGCTAAGCAGAGATGAGGAAAGAACGAAATCCAGACATATAACTAAAGTAACATAAATATTAACCAAATGAACAGAATATATAAGGCAAATAATGTTGTTTCCAAAAAGTTAACCTTATTTAGAATCCTTATTATGATCTAATTTTCTGGGAAAGAACTTTAATTTGAAGAAGAAACAACTAAGAAAGCTTAAAATGCAACACACCAATGATGATTAAACATCATCAGTTTTACATAGTTTTTTGGCGTGTGAAGTTCTTTTATTTTTTTAATTTCAGTAATGACTATTAAGTGCTGAAATTTTGGTTCTTAAAAAAAATAGCATTCTGCATTGTTTAAAAAAAAAACATTCATGCTACATTCCAGGTAGAATGATTTGCAGGAAAATTATCAGTATTTTTACTTTATATTAGAAGCATATCACCTTACCTGTGGAGGGATGATGTTTTCAATACTGATACCCACATATACCAACCGCTCTTTCCTGAAAAGAAAAAGAGGAAGCAAAATAAAATTACCTTAAGAAAGCTTTGTAAATATTGAGTTGTGTAAAAAACTACAATACAACAACCATTAACTTTATATTAGAGACTATCAAATTACAAATGACACATTGTCTTTATCTGACTGAACAACATTAGTATTTGATTTTTTTTTCCTTTTTGCTCATTTAAAACATGGGACTGATCTCAGGTCTTCCTCATTATAAAGATGGCTCTCTAGGCAATACGCCTGGCTGCTTTACTTAAAGTGGACATTTCTCTAGAGTCAATCCTTGGTCCTCCTGTCTTACATCCTAATTTATCTGCAATTTCAACTATCGTATCTATTCAGATATACATTGAATTACTAGTATTAGGAAGGATTTTAGAGTTCATTTCATAAATTAGGAATAAAGGCTCAGAGAGGATGATATATTAGTAAGACCAAGACTTTTGGATGCCCTGTAGAACTGGCCCAAGTTAACACAAAGAGTTAGCACCAGCTGAGACAAGTCTCAACATTTCCCAACTCCCAGTCTTGAGGATCTATTTGATTGCACCACATCACCCCTGGATTTCCCGAAGCTTAAGTTGTGAAGGTATAAGGTTAATGAAGGTGACAAAAAAGGAGCTGCTGAAGCTCTAAATTCATTGCAAGGACCCTCAAGAGCCACCCGGTCCAACGTTTATCTGAAGTGCCAACTGCAGTCGTCCTACTTTTGCCCTCTGAATCCATACAGAATAAAAAGATTGCACCTTTTCCTACACACATCAATTTTATAACTGTCCAGACAATTGGTCATCCAGTCTCTATTTGAAAAGGCATTGCAGCATAATAAAAAGAATACTAAAGCACCTCAAAGCAGCCAGGTGACAGTGGATAGCGTGCTGGGCCTAGAGTCAGGGAGACCTGACTTTCAAACCAGTCTCAGATACTAACTAGCTGAGTAACTCTGGAAAATCTGCTTAATTTCTGTCAGCCTCAGTTTCCATAAGTGTAAAATGGAGATAATAATAGCACCTACTCCCCAGGGTTGTTGTAAGGATCGAATGAGATAATATCTATAAAGTATTCAGCCCAATGCTTGTTACATGGTCAACATTTAACAAATGCTAGCTCTTGTTATTATTGATAATGATAATTACTAAATGTGGAGTCAGCAAACCTAAGTTCAAATCCTAGTTTTGCTGTAGGACCTGTATGAATTTGGATTAGTCACTTAACAAATCTGGCCTTAGTTTTCTAATGCGTAAAATAAGGGAATTTGACTAGATAATCTCTGGTGTTTCTTCCCTTTATAAATCTTCTGACTTCCAATGATGGAGACTCATTATTTTATGAAGCCATTCATTCTATTTTTGCACCAATCTAATTGTTAGAAATCTTTTCCTTCTACTGAAGCCAAGCCTGGTGCTCTGTAATTTACAGTGTTACCTTTTCAGAAATCATATGTACTTTGCTTCCCTCTGCTGGCACAGCCTACTTATCTAAACTAAAGGTCAGTAAGGTGAAATTTTCACACCTCCCCAGTGATGCAAGCCGACTTTAAAGATGCAACAAGCATATATTTGCATTATATATAATTTTCCAAGGTGTAAATAAATATTCAACATATGGGATCAGCTTTATCACTGCAGAAAGACGGTGTCAGCTATGCTGAAAAAAAATGGCTCACACAATAAGAACTTTTCTTAAAGTTGTACACTAAATGGATTATTCCTCCCTGGGTCCAATTAAAGGTTATACAGGAAACAATAATATAACTATGTAGGAGTAAAAAAATTCTAAGATGCCAAGGTGAAAGACAACAAATCCACAGACTAACTGTGTGTGTACACCCTTTCACTACAAAATAAAAGAAAATAGCTTCACTTTGGAAAGACATGGCCTGAATATAAGTTGTTCTTTCTCCTTACATCTGGCTTATATAAAGCATAAACATAGCCTATGATTTACCATTATATGTCAACAAAAGCAACATTTAAAAAGTTACGATAAAAATTAGCAAAACATCATTATTTACTGAAATAAATGTCAAAAAAATTGATGTTTTATTACATATAATTAAAGGAAAAAAATTCTGCATAATTATACTTCAATTCACCAAAGGATCTTAGTATCCTATCCAATGATATAATCCAACTATGCATGTCCATTCTCAGTGAATTTCACCCATGTTTTCCAATAAGTTTACATTTGACCACAGATGCCAAGGAGTTTTGCAGGAGTTTATAATGACATCATGAGGATTCCAACAAAGCAAGTGAGGATGGTGTCACTCTCACCACATAACCACCACATCACCTCATTTACATTACTTCTCATTTATAAGTCCTCTATTATAATGTCATAACATGCTTAGACCTCACATGCATGGACTTTGTGTTGCATTGTGCATAATCTCTGGCTGAACTGTGTTTGAATTCCATCCCAAACACTGTGCTGTGGCATAAAGCCTGTAACATAGCAGGAGCTTAATAAATGCTTAATGACTTACTGGAGGAGGGTAAGGAGTGCAGGATAATGTCAAAGTTACAAAGCTAAGAGTCTAAAGGAATGGTGGTGCTGAAACTGCAGACCTAGGAGATTGGAGAAACGGAGATGCCTTGGACAAATATCAAAGTTTGTAAGGGACTTGTTATGCTCCTTCCTGTGCACCATGTCCAGTACCTTTTGATTATTTTTCAAATGAACTCTTAACTTTCTGCAAGCTGGTGTGACTGAAAGTACTTTTTTATGAACACTGTAATATGAAAGGAAAAAATACCCAACAAAATTGTGTTTCTTGCTGACTTTGGATGCATACTAAAACTCACTGTTAGTTCCTTTCTTTGCCTTTCCAAGGACATGCTGGAGGCGTCCTTCCATTTAGATTTAATTTCCCTTTGCATTCTGGTTTTGTTGAGCATATCTCAAAATTGGCAAGATTATGTTCATCTGGTACAGGAGTTCTTACTTTGAAGTCTGTGAACTTGGACTTTTAAATCTTTTCATATCTGTATTTCAGTATAATTGGTTTTCTTTAGTCCTATGTACTTTATGTTCTATCTTTAAAAACATCATTCTCAGAAGGAATACACAGGCTTCACCAGAATGACTGCCAAAGGGTTTCACGACACTATGAAGGTTAAGAGTCCCTGCTCTTGTATTATGAGTATACAATGGTCACTGGACCTTACATTTAATGGGAAACAGTGAAGTTTATCAGTGGTCTAAAAACTGTGGAGTTTTGGTATTCTCTGTCCTGTTTTCTAATGCTCTGCTACTGTCATTAAAGAAGCACAAATAGAAGGACTGAGAGCCATTTTCTACTTTTGTTTCGTGGGTTGCCCTACCCAAAGAATAACTTACCAAGTGATCAACCTATTGGTGATATGCTTCTCTGTACACATCTAGAAACAGTCCATTGCTATGACTGGACCTGACACTTTTCCAGTCTGGCAAAAACATGCCAGAGCATATGTTCTACTGGTATAGTCATTGGACAACCCCTACAGTCACTTCTATGCAATCATGTGGCATCACAGTGAACTTTACATAATTATTATTTGGTTATAATTTTATTTTTCAAAGAATCTCATTTTAGGTCCTATATTTGGAGGTTACTTATATATTCACTTATTTATTCATCCTCATGCCAACAGGGTAATTCCTTCAAAACAGTTAAAGATAGGTAATATTTATACTCTTCTTTACCCTCCCTCCACATTGTTGGATATATAATGGACCCTCAAGAAACACTTGGCTAGTAGAGTTGAACTTCTGCAGGATGAATCAGTGTGAACATCCCTATACAACCTTTAGTACCTTCGTTCAGCACGCTCCTTCTTTTTCAAGGCAACATCCAAATCCTGCAACTGCTCCTCTAGCTTCTCACAGAGAAGTTTCTGTAGGGAAAAATAGATAAGGTCTCAATTTTCTACATGAGGAAAACACTTTGGCCAAATAATCTGACATTTCTAAATTAAGTTAAATGATGTTTATGACAAAGGAGCTAATACAGGGCTACATGTTACATGAGACGAGTGAAATGCTGGGACAGATAAACTAAAGGCCCAGAGCTCCACTGAACTCAACACAAGTTCTAATTCTCGAAAGTGAAGCACTCTTGAGGATAATAGGTAACAATCAGTTATGCAGGGACACATACTTCTTACACAATGATTCATGCTGGAGCAGTATCTGGACAACATGTATAGAAAAGGAGATAAAGAAAGACTTAAATACCACAGGGAGAAAAATGGATACTAAGTTAAAACAGAACTTATCCATTACTGAACTGATAAAGATGTGCTTGGATGTGGCAACTTTACTTCACTGAGTAACCCACAAAGTTCATTTATTTGTAAAACAAAGCCAGGATAAAGTATATTATACTTGGTGAGAGGTAGAAAAATAGGGACTCCACACAAAGTCCTATATCTCATCCCTTCAGTACTGCAAAGGAATTCGTTTGGATAAACATCTAGGAGAAGAGACATTTTTATCTCTTAGAACAATAACAACAACAACAAAAAGAAAAATCCCACTACAATACTGTTTGCAAGCAGAGAGGTAGAAAACAAAAAGAGAATGAAACCAAAGATTAATGAAAAGTAAAATATTTACTTGCATCAAGTTGGAGCAGGTGTGTAGGCCTGAGGCAAATACAAATCAAAATAAAGCTCAAAATAAGAGTCATATATAAATGAAGAGGAATGGGGCAGGGGGAGTGAGAGGATTGTTTCAGAAAAAAAATAGCTTCTTAAGGGATGCTATTATAATTTTTGATAATTCATCAGTTTCTGTGGGTAAAGAAATCTGTACAAGCCACAAATAGTGTTTACAGATTGCTATGAGGATAAAAGATGCCATAGAGATGCCACGCATTATTAATTTAAATCTAAAAACACTAATTATATAGTGAGTACAAACAAAGCTCATCATACATGTTGGCAAGGGGGACAAAACCACTCTCCATCAGGAATTATCATCAAAGGTGGTCGAAGGCAAGCTGTATGGTATCCACTGTCACATGAGTCACACAAAAGAATCTGGAAATAAAAAACAGATTAATGTCACCCTAATTCTATGGGAAAAATTAAACTATTCCATTTTTAGAAAAGATAAAATCACAGAGCTATAGCTTGGAGGGACCTCTGAGATCACCTATTTGAATTCCCTGTACTCCTAATTTTTTATATACAATGAAACTGAGACTGTGATAGGAAAAATGACCTGGCCAGGGTTACATAACAAGTTAATGATAGAACAAGGGCTTCAATCGAAATAGCTTGGCCCTCAGGACAACTGCTTTTTACTATAGTATTCTTTCTCCATACTCTTCAAGGTCTTTCAGAATCACTATTTTTCCTCAAATCTTAGGTCTATATAAAGCTCATTTTTATAGAGTGCTACAGTTTACAAAATACTTTCTCACAATAATCCAAGCATTATAATTTATGTTTTAAAATGAGGAAAGAGGTTCAGAGTGTTAATGTGACAGGAAAAGTCTCATGCAAATCCAAATCTTCAGACTCAAGGGAAGTATCCAGCTTGAGTGCCTGTAGAAACTGGAGACAGATGTGCTTGGAGGCAGGAGATAAAGGTGAATGAAAGGATGATGATAAAGCCTATTTAAAATTTTTCCATTAGGCCAGCCTCATTCCCTAGAAAAGAGGAGGAAAGTGTCTTCTTTGTCCTCCTCTAAATCCCTCTCACAGCCTATGCTTCCAGGTTCCAGATTTATGAAAATGATTAATGTTCATAACAATAACAGCTCACATTTATACAGTGCCTTAAGTTTTGCATAGCATTTCCTCCCTCTAGCCCTTTTTCAGATGGGGTGTATCACATGGCCTCGGGTGATTTCCACTACAGACTACAAAAGCTTTTTGAAGCATGCTGCTGGCATTCTAACTGATGTGCATTATAGGAGTATGGGCCTGGGACTCTAAGTACTATTTACAACACTGTTTTTATAGGAAAATGTGTTTTAAGTTGTGACTGATTCATTTGGGAGGTAATGTGGTTTAGCTGAGAGCACTGACTGGGAAAGAAAAGACTGTGTTTCTAGTCTTACCTCCACCATTTACTAGCCCCTTCATTCAGTGTGTGTCCAAGAGATGCTCCATTTCCTGATAACTTTTTAAGGGGAAGTTAGAATTGTCAATGGAGGACAAATTTGCAAGAAACTACTCACTGGAGGCAAGTAATGATTGATCCCCAATGAGCACTAAAGGCGCCAACTTCATTTATTTTGTAATTTGTTTATCTTGATGCAAAATTAAATCACCATCCTGAAGCTTCTCTATTGAGTACTCACCACGGGAATGACCTTCTAAATTTATGAACTGGTAAACTCTGTAGCCATTACTGGCCTCCTCAAATTTTCCTAGCAATACCCTTTGACTCTTCTGGACATATCACATCTTAAATGGCTGGTAAGGTCCTTTTAGGAGCTATCTCCAGTGTACAGCAGTGGCTTCCTCACAGGAGACACTATGTGTTTGCTGAATTAGATTCAGGTTACTTAAAATCTTCCTGAGCCTCAGTTTACTTATCTATAAAACAAGTTCAGAGTATGATGTGATTTTTATCTAAGGATAATACCTACCTTGACTAACTAATAGGTTGTGATGACTATATTACATAATAGACCATATATGCGAAAGTGCTTTAAAGCACAGTAACATGTAGATAAATGTAAAGCATAGATAGTCTTTGAGTAAAACCCACATTCATTCTGTGGGTCCCCCATTTTACTGATTGCACATACAACAGATCAAATTTCACTACAAGGAATACCATCACAACACAAATATCAGTTAAAAATTGTTATTAACATATTTATTTCTAATAATATTGATAACATCATGAATGTAATGATCAAATGACATAATATATGTAAATCCTTTTGCAAACTTCATTGGAATACAAGCTCCTTGTGACTAGGGACTATTTCTTTTGCTATGTTTATACTGCTAGCACCAGGCCTAAAGGAAGTACTTATTAAATGTTCCTGAGTACTAGAAGGGCAGGGCCTTTAGTCCAACATAATTTCACAGAAGAGGAAGTTGTGGCCCAGGAAAGTTCCCTGCCCTGTCCAAGATCACAGAGTAAGTTCTGGAGATAGAACTGGAACCCAGGGCCTCTGATTCCAAATTCAGCGCTCTTTCTACTTTAACACACACACAGCTTCAATGCATTATTAAATAAAATTTTAGGATAACAAATCATTAAGATGGTTGTCTTATGATTATTTTTATTAGATTTAAAATATATTATGTACTCATAAAAGTGCTGTTTTGTAAACATTTCTCCATTTTTGTCCCTAGTGTAGAGAAAAAGAGGGCACGTGTCCAATGCATTCTTTGCCAAGAGCAAATACTCAAGGACTTTGTTCTTCAGGAAGAACTCTAGTGCGTATCCCTAGAATATAGTGAGGCACTTAAAACTTACTAAATCAATGACCATCTGCCCAGAAAAAGCAGTTCATGGATTCTATTGTCAGGGCTGCAGTCACTCTCCTGCAGTAAACACTTGCCAGAAGAATGTCAAGGATAAGGGTACTGTTAGCTTTACCAATCCATTCATCATTGACCACAGAGATGTACAGACATTGGACAAAAGATGCTGGAATCCATCTTCATATTAATTTCCCAAACATATAATATGTTTATCATGAGAAATTTATTACTATTACTAATGCTTCTACGTAACTTAACTTTATATCGCCAAAATAAAGATCTCAAGTTGAACCTAGAAATGAACCCAAAGAATCTACATTTGAGAGCATAAATGAAGAATTGTGTGGTTCCCTAACAGTACAACTGCCTACATTGTGAATGTGACACAGGCCTATCCCAGAATATCTTGCTTTAGAGTTGTAGTCTCTTCGTTGTTAGGTGTTTACAGTCTTCACCAAGAATATTCACTCAAATGTAATGGAATATGATGGCTGGGTAGTCATAGTCCTCTTCCTTTTATACCCCAATTGCTCTAACACAGACCCTCATTACTTTCCACGTGGACTATGATAATAGCCACAGAACAGATCTTCCTGCCTCCTCTTTCTTCCTTATCCAATTTTTCCTTCACTTATTGCCTGAGTAATTTTCTTAATGCAGAGATCTAGTTACATCATTCTTTTGCTAAAAATCCATCAATGTCTTATAGCAAATAAATTTAAACTTCTCAGAGCAGTTTCCAAATCCCAACAAGCTGGCATCACCTTACCTTAACTAATCTTATTTCATCTTCTTACCATCCAGGTATTCTACACGCTAGGCAAACCTATACGACTCTCTATGAACCAATACAACAGGAAGGCTTCTTCACCAGATACTTAAGAATTTATCTCTCGTGGCAGACAAATAAATCAGATATTAAATCAGATATTAGTTTCTAAGTTCTACTGATCTGGGCCATTCACTTTGAAAAAGCAAGCTGAACAGAAAAAAAAAAAGCCCATAAAAATCTACCACTATTCCTCTGAGCATATTGTATTATTTCTCTATTTTATTCTGCCTATTTGGGCTACTTATTTTAAGGCTACAAGAATGAGTATCCTCCTGTAATTCAATCAAGCCTTCAAACATGGTTTACATATGCCAGAAATGCTATTATTATCAAAGAACTTTTAGGATGGTAACCATAGGCATCATCATTTCAAGATGTTATTTATAATTCTATAAATTCCCTTCTCATTCTTAGTTCTGGTAATTGCAATATGCTATAACCCAGTGTAGTCTAGTAAAACAGGCTGGCCTATTGGACTGAGACTCCTTGGGTCTGGAGTATTCTGCTGGCTCTGTAATTTACTATCTACATGACTGGACAAGTCACCTAACTTCCCTGAACCTCAGTTTCTGCAACTGTAAAATGGGGAAAACAGGATCATAGGATTTTCAGAGGTGAAGGAAACTCAAAAGATCATTTATCTAGCTGAATCCCTTTATTAAACAAACAAACAAACAAACAAAGCTGAGGCCTAGAGAAGTTAGTTAATAATCGCTGTCCTGTTTCCCTCATAGGGTTGCTGTAAAGAGAGACAATGGCTCCCAGGGACAGCATTCTGTTCCTGTTCCCTTCAATGTTTTCTCACTTCAGTTACAATAGGACTTAATAGATACTGGTTTTTTGTTGCTGCTATTGTTGTTGTTTTTGGCAAGGCAATGGGTTAAGTGACTTGCCCAGGGTCACACAGCTCATAAGTGTCAAGTGTCTGAGGCCAGATTTGAACTCAGGTCTTCCTGACTTCAGGACCCCTGCTCTATTCACTGCACTACCTAGCTGCCCCATAGACAACTGTTTACAAGTTCTTTTCATACCTCCTTAAACCATTTGGAGCAAAGGGACTACAAAACACAAAAAATTAAGAAACATATAATTCATACGCTACAACTAAGATGTGCAGTTGACAGCTACTGCAATCCAGGGATTTGAAAAGGATGGATGTACAGCAGGGACATACTAGTTCAGGATGATTGGGAAGGCCACATTTCTTGCATGGTTCATCATCATCTGCTGGTACGGCTTCTTCAGTTTCTTTTTCTTCCTCCTCCTCTGACTCTGCAGATGATTTCTCACTCTCAGATTCCTCACTTTCATCATTGCTAGAATACTTCCATCGACCACGTGTTCGAGAACCCGTCCACCGAACTTTGTTCTTGGATTTCATCTAGATAAAATAAAAAGTGGGGGTATGTTTATCTTATGACTCTAAGCATGGATCACTGACTCACAAACTGTTGTTATAAAAATATTCTAATTAGAAATTAAAGGGAATTTAAAAATCTAAATAACTCAGAAGTAAATTATAGAATTGTAGAGCTGTATGAGACTCCAAAAGTCATCTACTCCTACTCTATCTGAGGCATGAATGCTCTTCACAGAATAACAGAAAAGGAATCATCTAACTTCTACTTGGACATTTCTTTTTTCTTTTTTTTTTAATTTTTAAGCAGTTGGGGTTAAGTGACCTGCTCAGGGTCACACAACTAGTGTCAAGTGTTTGGTCTGGGGCCACATTTGAACTCAGGTCCTCCTGACTCCAGGGCTGGTGCTCTATCCACTGCACCACCTAGCTGCCCTTGCTTGGACATCATGCACGGGGAACTCATTCTCAAGAAAGGAGACCTGGGGCAATCAGCACTTTGCACATATTAAGTGCTTAACAAATGTTTATTTAATTGGTGATTAGAAAATTCTTCCTTAGAGTGAGCTAAAATTTGTCTCCAAGTAATTTATATTCTCTATATTCCAACTCAGTTCTGCTTTCTGGAATCTACTCCCCTCTTCCTCAAGACTGCTATTCAAATATCTGAAGATAGAGTGACTATGTTCCTCCTACAACTTTTTCTCTAGGCAAATTACCTCCAATTCCTTTAACCAATCATCATAAGACAAAGTTCATGGTATTTAAAGAATTAAAAGTTCTGTTTATGCACAGAACAGAAAACAAGTCAATTTGATGCACACATTCTATAAATCTTGTGTTACTATCACATTACATATTCTACACTGTAGATCTACTAGGATAGCGCAAAAGATTCTAACAGAGAGAAAATATTTTTGTTTTGTGAGTTACTTTATGTTCCTTATATCAATGTAACAAAGGAAAGAAGACAATGAAAAAATGTCTTTTTGCCACTTTACAAATAGGATGAACATATGTAAAAATGCAGAAAAAACTCTAAAATAAAAATCAGACTTCCAAGTAGGCTATCAAATTCTACTAATAACAAATTTTGAGGGAGCATATCTAAACTATTTATGTTATACCAATTAGTATTTTAAATCACTGAACCACAAGCTGGGAGAAATCCTGGCTTCAAGAGTAAATTAAAATTATATTTAAAAATGAACCAAATCTTATATGACCTGAGACCTGGTATCATTCTGAGGACACCTAAAAAGGACACCCAAGTTACCATGTTCACAGAACAAAAGGATTTAGAACAAGAGCCTTAGGTCTAGTTGAATGTCTTCATTTTCTTGACTGAGGTATCTAAATTTAAAGTATCACCTACCAATCCAAATCAAAGAATTGTAGACACACAAAGATTCAAACATTTCAAACTAGAAATGAACCTATTCTTGGAGTCAAAATAGCGCATATATAGTTTTACCTTATTGACTTTAGAATTAGCATCCTTGTCGGGCTTCCTTGAGTTCTCCTTTTTGTCCTGTTTTTGGACAGATGCTGAGTCTTCTCCTTTCTCTTCTTCCTCTCGTTTTTTATCAGCCTTTTGATCTCTTATTTCAGCCACTTTTGCTGTGGGTCTAGATATTCTTGGTGACCTTCTTAAAGTTCGACCAGGAGTTACTTTCTCTTCTTCCTTTTCTGTCTCTTCCTTTACTTCTGTATCCAGAACCTTTGGAGAAGAGTCAGGCTTTTTCTTCCTGCTAGAGATCCTGATTGTTAATTTGATGCCTTCTTTCTGCCTTTCAGATGTTATTTCCTTATTTTCTGTTTCAGTGGTTTCTTCCTCAGGAACCAATTTATATTTAAATTTACTTTTTTGTGTGGTGGATCCCTTCTTGGTCTCTGAAGAGTCTTCGATTTTAGAAGGTTGGCTACTGTCTAATTTATCTACTCCAGCCTTGGCAAGTTCCACTTCCTCCTTGAGGACCTCAGGGTCCGTTTTCTCCAGGGAATGGCTATCTTCACTGGGTTTTGTATTTTTGGAATCTAACCCATCCTTTTCAGAGGCTGCTTTCTCCTGGTAATCAGGAGTAGTAGAAGTTAGGGAGATCTCTGCCACCTCTGAAGAGCATGGTGTCTTCTCTGGATCTACAATGTTCTTGGCAATCTCTTCGGGTATAGGACTCAATTTTGATGTGTCCTTCTCAAGAATGGTCTTCTTGGACTTCTCTAACTTTTCTAGACATTCTAGGAGTGGAGGCCGTTTGTCCTTCTTATTTTTGGCTGAGGACTTCTCTTCAACTTTCTTGGCACAGGCTTCAGTGGTAGAAAAAGTTGTTTTCAAAGAAAGATCCTCTGCCATCTCTGAAGTGTCTTCAAGAGTTTTTTCGGTTTCTGGAGGACCAGGTTCTTCTACTCCTTGCCCTCTCTGAGTAGGGCCCTCTCCATCTTTCCCAGATTCACCTGTTTTTATGCTCTTATTTAGAGACATTAAGGATTCTGCCCCATTATCTACCACCAAGCCATTTTTCTCCTTGGATGGATGAATACCTCCTTCCTTTATGCTGTAGATCTTAGTTTCGAGTTGTTCTGTCTTATTCCTTGGAGTGTTTTTTTCACCACTAACTTCTCCATTGACTAGCTGTTTCCCCTCAGGACACAAAGCCATGATTGTGGGAATCCGCTTACAAATCTCCTCCTCAGATTTCACCTCCTCTTTCAACGCATCTTTTGTTGGAGTCACTGATTTACACAAGGGTCCCTTGACTGGACTGTCAAAATCATCAGTCAATTTAATCTCACGTTTTTTCAAGGGTATCTTTGCTTGCTGGTCATTTTTTAATTTTTCAGTTTCTTCGGTTGATTTCTCCATAATTTCTGGAGGAGGCTTAATGCCAATCTCTAATCGCTCAGGTTCATGAACAGTCATTTTCTCTGTGCTACTTTTAACATCTTTTGCTTCCACTTTGCATTCCTTTACCTCCACTTTAACAGGTTTAACATTCTCCTTGAAGGAATCACTTTCTTCTTTGGGGATCTTTTTCTCCTCATTCTCTAGTGAAGATTTCTCTAGCTTCACTATGACTGGCGTTTTCACAAGTTCCTTTTCTTCTGGTTTCTCAATTTTTACTGGATTCTCTTCCAGGGTAGTGGGCACAGAAAGATTTTCTGATTCTTTTGCTGGTTCCTCTACTTTCACCTTCTCATGTTTTGATTTTAATTCTTCCTCTACAAAAAATAGATAAAGGTTGATTTTTACACAGAGGCTTTGATGGCATTTTACATTACAGGGATCACAGACCAGAGTTAAAAGAAAATTTAAACACTAATAATAAACACTCAATAACTAGATATGATTTATAAACTACACGAAAAAACTTTCACAGAATTAAAACTGGAATGTTAGTCAATCAATAAACATTTCTTAAGTGCCCGCTATATGTTAGGCATCGTACTAAGGTCTGGGGATACAAAAGCAGAAGACAGTCCCTGCTATAAGGGAGCATATCATTAAGCATATTAATCAATCAATTAATGGACATTTATTACGTACCTTTGTGCCAGGTACTGTGGATACAAAAGATAACCATGAAACATTACCTGCATTTAGGAAGCTTACATTCTATTGGAGGAGACAGTGTGTATATGTCTGTCTGTCTGTTTGTATGTATGTGCACACAGGTAAGTGGGTGTATAAAAACACTGGTGTAATTAATAGTTTTGGGGTGCATTAGGAGCTGAGGTATAAGAAAAATCTTCATGTAGAAGGTGGTGCTTGAGTAGAATTCTGAAACAAACAAGAACTTCTAAGAAGCAGAGGTGAGGAGGGTTGTGCATTCCAACCACGGAGTACAGTCAGTACAAATGAATGGAGACTAGAGAAGGAATAGCATATGTGAGCAGCATTAAAAGGGACTGAAGACTGCAGTAAAGGTACTGTAGTCATGTATAGTAAGGTTAGAAAATTTGATTGGCTCCATGCTGTGAAGAATTTTAAAAGCTAAAAAGAGGAGCTTATATTTGATTCTAAAGGATCTTATTGGATTAAGAGGAGTATCATGGTCAGACCTATACTTTTGGATAAACACTTTGGCAGCCACGTGGAAGATGGATTAGAGATGAGAAAGGCTTAAGGCAGGGTGAACATTTCAGGGCTACTGCAAGGTGAGAGGTGAGAAAGGTCTTTACTAGGCTACTGGCCCTGTGGGAAGTATTAAGGAGATAGAAATGACAAGGTTTGGCAACTGACTGGATATGTAGGATTAAGGAGAATGAGAAGTCAAAGATAATGCTGAGGTTGCAAACCTTGGTGACTCGGCAATGGTAATGCCTCCCAGAAGAACAGGGAAAATTCAAACAGTGATGAGTGGGGGTGAGAAGATGGTAAGTTCAATTTTGACCTGCAGAGTTTGAGATGCTTAGGGGACATCAGGTTTTGAAATAACCAATATGCAATCAGAGATGCATGATTGTAGTTCAGGAGTGACCAGGCTTGTAAACGTAGACCTAGAAGTCATCTGCATAGAGAATAATTAAACCCAAGGAAGACAATAAAGTCACCAAGTGACCTAGGAAGGAACCTTGCCTCAAACTCACAGTTAAAGGGCATTACATGGACTATGAATCAACAAAGGACACTGAGAATGGTTCAATAGATAGGAGAAGTGGATAGAACACTGAATCTGGAAATCAGAAGATCTGAGGTCAGAACCTGACTCAGACATTTAGCAGCTGTGTAACACTAGACAAGTCACTTAATGGTTGTCTGCCTTATTTTCCTCATCTATAAAATCAGGATAATTATTCATCTCCAAGGGCTATTGTAAGGATAAAATCAGTTAAGTGCTACATAAACTGGAAATAGAGGGGATGCCATCAATTGGGAAAAGGCTGAACAAGTTGTGTGTGGCATATCATTATGCTAAAAGAAATGACAAGCAGGATGATTTCAGAAAAACTTGGAAAGACTTACATGAATTGACGAAAAGTTTTGTTTTTTTTTTTTGGCTACGCAATGGCGTCAAGTGACTTGCCCCTGGTCACACAGCTAGTAAGCGTTGCGTGTCTGAGGCCGAATTTGAACTCAGGTCCTCCTGAATCTAGGGCTGGTGCTCTATCCACTGCACCACCTAGCTGCCCCCCTTTTTTTCTTTTCTTTTTCTTTTTTTTAAGGCAATTGAGGCTAAGTGACTTGCCCAGGGTCACACAGCTAGTAAGTGTCAAGTGTTTGGTCTGAGGCCAGATTTGAACTCAGGTCTTCCTGACTTCAAGGCCAGTGTGAACTGACATAAAGTGAGCAGAAACAGGAGAACGTTATACAGAGTAACAGCAATATTGTTCTATGAAGAACTGAATGACTTATCTATTCTCAGCAATACAATGATCCAAGAGAATCCCAAAAGACTCATGAAACATGCTATCTACCTCCAGAGAAAAAAATGATATTGATTGAATATAAACTGAAGCATGCTATTTTTCACTTTCTTTCTTTCATTCTTTGTTTTTGCTCGAGTCTTCTTAGGCAAAATGACTAATACATGTTTTACATGATTGCACATGAATACTCTGTATCAGATCGTTTATTGTCTCAAGGAGGGGGGAAGGGAAGAAAGAACGGAGGAATCTGGAATTCAAAATAAACAACAAAAAAAGAATGTTAAAAATTATTTGGGGGGCGGAGCTAGGTGGCACAGTGGATAGAGCACTGACCCTTAAGTCAGGAGGACCTGAGTTTAAATCCGATCTCAGACCAAACACTTGACACATACTAGCTGTGTGACCCTGGGCAAGTCACTTAACCCCAACTGCCTTAAAAAAAAATTATTTTAACATGTAATTGGGGGGAAATGTTTTTTTAAAGTGCTACATAAATGCTATTTATGATTATTGTTATTGTCATCGTCATCATCATCATCATCATCTCCATCATCATATAAGAGCAGTGTTACAAAAGCTCAGAGATGATAAAATATCCAGTAGGGAAAGGGTGGTCTGGTGAAGAGTTTCACATACTTCAGAGAGGCTGAAATAGATGAAAACTGAGAAAAAGTATTAAGATTTGGCAATTAAGAGATCATTGCTAACTTCAGAAAGAGCAGTACATAGTATTTCATCACATTCTTATACCACAATTGGATAAACCTTTCCCCAAATCAATGGATAGGTATCCATTTCTTTGCTACTATGAAAGATGCTATGAATATTTTGACGTGTAACAGAAGTTTCCATCTCTCATCTGATTTGTCTTTTCTTTCTATATTATTGCAATCAATAAAAATACAGTTGAAATTCTACCGATTTTGTTTTGCATCACTTCATAGATATATTTTCAAATTTCCTTACATGTGTCTTATGTATATTTTTTCATAGCATTATAAATATTCCATTATACCGACATACCATAATTTACTCAGCCACTTTCTAATTGTTTAAGAATGGGTTATTATCCCTTTTTGGCTAATAGAAATAGAGTAGTTATGAATATTTTCATACACAGAGGTTCTTGTTTTTAAAGATGTTTTTAGTATAAAGTTGGAACAGTAAGATTTTACATAATGGTTCTGTGACTCACTGTATTTGGCAATGTTGCTCTAAAAAATGTTTGTACCTGTTCTCAGCTCCATCATTAGTTCAGTAATCTCCACTGGATTTTTATCATGTTTCTACTTGTCATTCTAGTAATGTCTTAAGATCAACGATATGTAGGGGCAGCTAGGTAACGCAGTGGATAGAGCACCAGCCCTGAAGTCAGGAGGACCCGAGTTTAAATCTAATCTCAGATCAGACACTTGACACTTACTAGCTGTGTGACCCTGGGCTAGTCACTTAACACTAATTGCCTCAACAAAAAGGAAAAAAAAAGAGATCAATGATGTGTACCTCTCTGATTAGGGTATTTGAGCACCTTTACATAAGGTTAACAGTTTGTATTTTGTCTTTTGTAAATGTTCTATTCTTATCCTTTAACTACTATTCTTGTGGGTGATGTATAAAGTCACATAAATTTACAACCATTTCTTTTAAAGATTGATTGTTAAACCTTATCTATAATGCAAATATTTTCTTCATATTCTTTTATTTTTATATCATTATTTGTTAAGTCAAATTACTTTTATCATCATATAATTTCTTCTATTTGTTTGGTTGAAGAAAATCTTCCCTTTTTCTATAGTTTTTATAACTTTTTCTCTATTAAAACATTTTCTTTTTTTATATTTAAGAGAGACTATTGTTCAATCAGGTCAAGTTTACTGTGGTATATTGTGTGAGGTATAGAGCCAAACTGCCTTTTTTTCTGGTCATAAAATTCTGCAACCTTCCTACAAATTTTAATTGAATTTATTCCCAGAATTCTGTGAGTGTGGGTATATAAAATATTAACTTTTTAAAAAATCATTTTAAACGGTCTATACTATGTCTAGCATGTAATTATTGAGACTTGAAGAGCTTTAGGGCATTGGAATCTGCTCTGCCGGCAGCCTGTTCTACTTGTGAACAAGTTAGGAAGCTTTTCCTGACATTAAGCTTGAATTAAGCATGGACTTCTACCCAATGCTCTGAGCTCCTTGTCCACATCGAGGCTCTTCAAATGTTTGATAAGTGCTACTATGTTCCTCCTAAGCCTTCTCTTCTGTAGGTTACACATTCTTAAGAGTTCTTTCTACTGACTCTCATAAAGCAATGTCTCCACCCTTTTGGAGATTTGGGGTGGCCTTTTGTCATCTAACCCAAAAGGTATTTATTAAATATCTACTATAGGTAAGGTAATGAGTCTACAGAGACAATGAAAACCAAAATTCCTGTCTACAATGAGCTGGTTGCCTTGCTCTGGGACAGTCTCCAGTTTATTCAATCCTCCCAACTTACCAAAGTCTATTTGGTAATGATGAGCAATTTACTGTATTCTGTTTCTGCATAAATGTTCATTGATTAAACTGGTGTACAGTTTTATTTCCCAATTTTGTACTTTAAATAAGTATCAAAATAAGAATAATCAAAATAAGAATCAAAACAATACATGTCTGTTAAGAGTTGAGTGGCCTACTTCTTTCATATTTCTTGCTAGTCAGACTATACAGGGTGTTTCAAAGTCTTCTAATGGCTTAAAATGTTTGGAATATCCAGTGTTATGTCTATCTAGTATCTCTGTTACTTATTTTTTTTAAAAATTTGTTAAAGTTTTCTTGGGAAACTGTAAGGATTCAGCACTTTTTGAGAGGAAAGCACTT